CTCAGCCGCTCCTCGTAGGACTTGTTCTCCAGGCCCCTCACCAGCTTCGTTGCCCTTCTCTGGGCTCGCTCGAGCACCATGATGCCCTTCTTGTAGCGAGGGGCCCAAAACTGAACACAGTACTCGAGGTGCGGCCTCACCAGAGCCGAGTACAGGGGGACGATCACCTCCCTAGCCCTGCTGGCCACACTGCTTCTTATGCAAGCCAGGATGCCGTTGGCCTTCTTGGCCACCTGAGCACACTGCTGGCTCATATTCAGCCGACTATCAACCATCACTCCCAGGTCCTTCTCTGCCTGGCAGCTCTCCAACCACTCATCTCCCAGCCTGTAGCTCTGCTTGGGGTTGTTGTTCCCCAGGTGCAGGACCCAGCACTTGGCCTTGTTGAACTTCATGCAGTTGACCTCAGCCCATCAGTGCAGCCTATCCAGATCCTCCTGTAGAGCCTTCCTACACTCGAGCAGATCGACACACGCACCGAGGGTGCACTCGATCCCCTCATCCAGATCATCGATAAAGATATTAAGGAGAACTGGCCCCATACCAAATTATTGGATTTTATAACTGAAAGCAGTAAATACAATATACTGGTGTTCACAAATGTGTTCAGTAAGCTGATTTCCAAACATATTTGCCATACTCTTTGGGTATTTCCGTAACTTGTGTGACCCATTTCCAAATGTGGTGGCACCTCCACCTAGGGCTGTCTTCTCAGTTGTGGCTTAGGTAAGACATTCTTGCCTTATTTTTTGCTATTTTTGTTTTCTTCACATTATTTCATTTTGCTTTGGTTTATTTTGGGCTTTTTGTTCCTTTTCTTAATACATCACTGAAGTTATATGCCTGTTCCTGAACCCCATTTGAGAAGTTAATTGTAGCTAAGGGTAGTGTGTGAAGGTGTTGTTTATATCTTCTCATACTCAGTCTAATGTCCCTGTTGTGAATTCAAGCAACTTGAAGGTTGCATTAGTTACTGTAAACCCTTGAGAGCCATTCCTGAATCTGCAAATTATTGTTGGAAGGAGCCACTCCAGTAAAATTCTTTTTCCTTGGCAGATCAGGTTCTTGAGAGCTTATATATTCAAATACACTGCTCAAGCTTTCCCATATACTAAGCAAGATCTGGCTATGAAATTATATAAATGTTACTGCACCCTTCTGCACAGAGAGGGTTCTAGGAGATAAGTCTTTTGGCCCTCTGTCTTCTTCCTACCTGACAGCATGGTATAGCATTATTAAATCATGTTATCTGTCTTTTGGTATATTCTTTGGATTTAATTGTTTCTATTTTTGCCTTTCTTATTTTTAATAGTCATGTGTCTATAATGCTTTTTTTACCAGAGAGATGGAGGAAATCCTCGTGTAATCTGTGCATTGTTGATAGCTGTCTTACTCCTTGTGAACTGGGATAAGCAAGGAAGATTCATTTTTTGATTCATTGATGTGATTTCTAACCAATCTCTTTTGCTGAACTCTTGTGACAAATCAGGAATCTGTCTGGCAGTGAATTTAGTACAGAGGACCACAAAAGGTTTTAGACTATCAAGATGCTGAATTGTGAGTTGACACAAGTCTGGGTTAGCAGGCAGAAATGCCCGCCTGTCTTCAGCACACAAATAATTTATTTTTTGTGTTCAAAAAGCAAGCACCACATGGACCAATTTAAAATTGATGGTCACTATTTTTAAATTAGTGCATGTACTTTGAACCTATTATTTATATATATGGATATATATGCTGCAATATCTCTAAGAGAAGGGGATGAAAGAGTTGCAGAAGTCAAGGAAGGAATGCTACTAACTGTCAGAAATGAAGTCTAGCATTGTTCCTCCATAAACTGCAGTCATTTCAAGGAACACTCAACAATGAAGTAAAACCAGTTGAGACTAATTCCTAATTACAAAGGATGTAGTGAAACACCACACATGACCCCCCCCCAAAAAAAAGCCGGCTGCTTGAATTCAAGTCTTTCAGAATGCCTTAATGCCTCATGTGTGTCATACTTGAAAAAAAATAAATTGTTTCTAATGTAATGAAAAGTTGTTCATATTTAACATATTTTCATTAAAATATTTGACAGAATTTCTGTTGTGTCTTGGTAGAGCTTTTTATGGACAAACATGATAATGCTGATGGAAATGGAGAAAGTTAATAATACAAAAAATAAAGTATTAATTTTTTTCTTTTGGAGTAGAATTTTTTGTGGTAACCTTAAGTATTAAATGCTGATCCAAAACAGAGTGAATTTTTTTAGAATTGTCTTTGAACATGAGTATCTCACCACTTTCTACAATGCTGTATAACATGTTATCGACACGTAATCACCAAAATATTACTTGTTGCGGGCTTGTTAGTCATTTATATATTTTCCTGCCCATAGAGTACCATCTTCAAGTGCAGTATTTATATCCAAGTATAATCAAGAACTACAAGAGCTCTCTGAAATTAAGTCATTCATTGCTCTTCTACTTGGGTTTAGTTGCTTAAAGAATCTAAATCTACCCTTTTTTAGTTTTAAAACATTATTCCTTGTTCATAGGATAACAGGGACTACGCTCCCTGACAGAAGTCCTCTCAGGCCTGCCCAGGTCCCTCTGGATGGCATCCCTTCCCTCTGCTGTGTCAACTGCACCACACGGCTCAGTGTCATTGGCAAATGTGCCAAGGATGCACTTGGTCCCACTGCCCATGTCACTGACAAAGATGTTAAACAGTGCCGGTCCCAAATTGTCACACATTGGAGACACTGTGAGTCACAATGTGAAAATAAAACTGTGACTTCGTATGACTGCTGTTCCAGCACTTCTAATAAAATTTAGCTTCCTATATAGAGAATATTTTTTTAGATATTTGTACAAAATGAATATGAAAGTAATCTGTTGGGAAGTGAAGGGACAAGTAGGTTTCCATCCTACTTGACTGGAAATCTGAAAGGTGAAAGAGATGTTCTGCGAATAACGCGCTATTATGCACTAATATTGGTGGTGCTATTCTACATTGAAGTATGGTTGATTTGCAAGACATTACTGATTTCCCTTTTACAAGATGTACAGCTGTAAATAAACTGTAAATAAGGTATCATTCGATGAATATAATAAGCCAAATGCACTCACTAGAGCTACTGCACTCCATAGAATGCAATTGGTTGACCTTTAAGGAAATTGTTGAAATTCTAATTGCCTCACACTTCTACTGCTTTACAAAGATCCTTATGTTTACAGCCTTCACCACATGCACAAACGTTTTTTTTCCTGTTTCTTTCTCATCATAGAATCTCACCATCAAATAGAGGGCGTGAAGAAGCCTCCCTCTCCTATAGCACATTTCAAATGCCCTTTTTATTAATGTAATCTTTTCCCAGTTGTCATTTAACTTTTCTTCTCCAATTTGTAAACCATCTGTATTTTAAATTGCTTCCTACTATCTATTTCAAACATGTTTATATAGAAGATCATTACTACAACTTTCATCTTATTCTGACGTGAAAGGTTCAGTTGATTTTTCCGCAGATCATTGGAAAAATACTGTTGCTAATTATTAGTAATAATTATAATTGTGCTGCTAGTTATTTCTATTATTATTACATGCATTACTAATACTGATGATCACTAGCATTGTATTTTATAGCACAGTGCAGCTGACACAGCTCAAATATGTCAGTCATTCATGAAACAGTGATGTGTTGAGCACAGACTTTCGGTGACCCGCTCGTGGACCTTAACTACAACTGACTAGATGATTCCTGTCTATGTGCATTTGTTTCTTTTCCAAGAGGCTAAAAGTGGGATTGTGCAGTAGGTTATTTGTCATAAGAGATTTCTCCTGGGATGTGCCATGTGACTCCTTTCTTTCATATCCCTCCTTTCTCTGATGACTGCTAGGCAGTGTTGTGAACAGAAACAAGCTCTTGTTTCGTTATAATCAGTGACACATCATTTTTGCTTTCCCAGTGCCTAACAATTCAGGCATAGAAGACAATAAGCTAACATATTAGTAAAAGTTTTCTGGGGACATCTTATGGAAAGATTATTTTTCTCCAGCTCTTGAAGGAACCAGTCTTTTTTATCCCTGTTTTCACAGTCAAAGCATACTTCTAGCTCATTTTCTTCTGAAGTTATAGGTATGTTTGCTTGCCAAAAGATCCTCTTCATCATCTGTTTAGTCAGATGTTTGTGCTTTCTTCCTGCTAATCTCCCTGCTTTTTAGATTTCTAGATTACTGTCACACTTTGAGATGGAATAAGTAGAGATGTTAAATGTATTTGCTTGTAGTGCCATTTGTTTATAATTTATTTATGGTCTTAGTTTAAGGGACTGCCCTTGTTTCTGGGCTACAGGGTAGTGTAGTAGAAGCCAGGAACCAGTAGAAGCTTAGAGTACAGGGTTAGTGTATATGTGGCTTTGCTAGAGGAAAAGTTGTACTGAGTGTGGAATTGTGTATGGAGGGATGGGAGGAGTGGATACATTGTCCCGGTTCATACAGACCACTGAAGTTCTAGATATTAGTGACAGAAACTTGAAATCTGTGCCCTCACAGATTGAGTCTTGTATGACACTTTACTGTATTATTATGAAGAGGTGAAGAGAAATTAATTGTGAATTGTTATGCTCTTGAGTCTTTCAAGAACATTTTGCTTTTGTATTCTAGAGTTCTTATCTCTCTCCCTTTGGTAGTGAAAAGATTAGATGTGTGATAACATGAACTAAATGGTTTATTATTCTTCACAGTTAATGCATTAAATTGTTTATATTCCGCATTCACAGTAGCTGCAACAAAACTTTAAGTAATGTGTCTTGCTACATGCATTCAGTAAGAATCTCTAAATTTATTAAGCTGTGCTAAAGATGGAATAATCTACTGCATGCTCTTTGGAAGTATTTAAGATGGATGTTTGAGGTTTGAACATGGCACGGGCCATACACCCAATGACTCAATGTGGTACTTACAAGCTAAGTTGAGTTATTTAGCAGTATTTCTTTTTTTTTTTTTTTTTTTTGTAGCCTTTCATGTCCCCTCGGTACCCCGGAGGTCCAAGACCACCCTTAAGAATACCCAATCAGGTAAGAATTTATCACTGGTGCACACTTGTGGTCCTGGTCATCATGCAGTGCTAGGAGCAGGGAGCATTGTCCTATTGGCCACCAATGTCCCTGGCACATATCGCAATGTCCCTCTCCACTCCATTTTGTCATTAGTAGACACACCGTGCCACTGCAAGCTCACTTTTCTGTGCTGAATGAGTGCATACACCTCAAAATTTATCATACCCTCAGCCTGTCTACAGAGGGAGAGTGTTCTTGGCCTTGTAGGGAGCTGCATTAACCTCAGCCAGGCTTTGCTGCCTGCTAAGATGAAGGCAAAGCATCTCCATAGACATTACGTTCTCTAAACTTTCCTTCCGACACTACGCGGTTACCTCTGAGAATTGCTTTACTTAATTCTACATAAAATACATCACCCCCTCCTATTCTTTGTGGGATGCGTAAAGTATATTTACTCCACAGTAAACATGGGGATGATCAGTGAGAAGCAGTTATCAAGTGCGTTATGGCTCTTACAGGCACTCTGAGGACTTTATAAAAGCATCAAATTCCCACTTTTCTCTCATCTCCACCAAAGGGTATGCGTGCTAGTGTAACAAGAATGAGTAATGAGCTGCTGTTCGTCGGCAGAGACCTTTATTGGCCCATCTGTGAAAAGATGGTTCTGGAAACAGATAGCGTTTGTATTTTAAGTTCTTCTTAGTGCAGACAGAAGAGGAGAAAATGGATGTCAGCAGTTGAAATGTTAGTGATAAGCAGACAGAAAAATACGAGTGGAACTCTGAAAGAAAAACTGGGTCATTTGCAAGATTGGGAAAGGTTGATAGGAAGGCCATAATATCTTTTTTGTGAAACCTAGACTTCCAGGACTGCCTTTGACGTATCAATGAGGAGGCTGTTCTATTCCACCCCAGTTTGTCTGTTTTTTATATCTGTGTGTCACAATGAGCGCTTGGCTTGAGCACTGGCACAATATCGCCAGGATGCTGAACTTCAGGTTTCACTGAGATGGACATTTCAAGTTGCAACACTTCTTCAGATGTTCCACTCAGTGATGTTTGAGAGGAGGTTAAGTTAGCTGTAGCATAGCTTCTTTGTCAGGAGATAAATGGGTGACTTAAAATTAACATTGTGGAAATGGCCATCACGGAACAATATGAGTGCAATGTCATCCATCCAGAGTGCTTAGTTAAAGTTTGTTACAGTGTACTGTAATTCAGTACAAAGCATCTTTCTGATTTTTGCACCTTTCAGTAAACCATTTTCATCTTAGCCAAAGGTACACCAAAGTTTGGGTGTCGCTTGTTCTTTTGTTTCTGTTTCTGTGTTTCTGAGCTGTGCAAATACTGGCAGGTAGAAGCTGGATGTGGCAAATGCTGTAAAACTGCTGCCAACCTCCAGCTTTAGCTTCAGAAGCATTTTTGTCTGCACATTCTGACATTTTTGGTGTAGAGATGTAACATAATGTTTGTGGAGTGCAGCTCTTGCAATTCATTTGCATCCTGCTGCATTCGTGAGTTACTGCTCAGAGCAACTCTACCCTTATTTGAGTTACAGCATGGATGAACAGCGTGTGGAAATAATGAACTACTGTAATGCAGCTTTAACACTGACGTTTTGGTTACCAGGAAAGGAAGCAAGTAAGCATCGGAGTTAACTCCCACCCTAACTATAACTCCATCCCTCAATGCATAGCCGTAGGGAGTGTATTTTGGGCAAGGAGGTCTGATGCAGGGCGTACCCAGTTGTGTAGGGGTATCCGAGATGGATCTGGGCTCCGCAGCAAGGAGCATTAGTAAACATTGAGTGCCACATGAGTGCCCCAAGGCTGCCTCCAGGGCTCCATCGTGCCCTGCAAGGCCTAGTCCTGCAATAGTATTGACAATGTGTGAGTAGACACATCTCTGTGTATTTCATGTCTACTTCTTACACATCATCCTGACTATAAGCCACTGAAGTAAATGTAAAACCCAGATTTAAACGATGTTGTTTCAGACTGTGTTCATTCCATAATCTTACTATAGAATACCTTTTGACTTGGTGTTAAACCGATGTAATAATGCACATTCTAAATTTGAAGTCCCCAGGTGTTATGGAAGTAAACCACAGAGTGTTTGCAGATAAGCTCCCCTTTGTACGTATCCAAAAGTACCACAGTGTTTCCAGGTCACCAGTAACTTATCCATTCACTCAGTAAGCAATTACCTGTGCTACATGAGTAGATTACTTTCATAATACAGGATTTACTCATTCCAGACACATTTTCACTGAGAACATATTACTGTTTTGAAATTTTAAATAGTGCTTTGTGGGTCAGCTGCAAAGATCATTCATAAAAGCATTGTTCTAGTTGACTAGACTGTAAGAGACTGTAGAAATTAGCTGTAAGCCAAAATCAGTTGCTAAAAACCCGGAGGGCAGGTAAAAATTTAGGGCCATAAAAATAATGCATTTGATTGGACCAGAGGTGAAATAAAAACTCGATGTATCTTCATACTTGAAGGCAAGCTTATAGGAGCAAGTGATGTGACTGTTGTTTTCTCCCGTATATAAATTAAAATCTTATCTTAGCACTGATACCTTGCAAAGGAGGGGGAGAGTGGATGATAAAACCTCCTGCATATCACAGTGCTGCTTGGCCTTACCCCTTTGAATGCTGTGTGGCTGGCAAACTGATTTGTCTCACTCTCGGTGGACATCATGGTGCCCACATTCTGTCCTCTTAAGGGAAGATGTTAAAATAATGGTTAAAAGGGAAAACTGTAAGAGTATAAACTTAGGATAAATTGCCCTGTAGCCAAGAAATAGGCAATGATTTGAGGTTAAATGATAGGTAAGCTAAAGCAAAGCAATAATTGGAGAAAAAAGGCAAAATCAGTGGGGTCGTATTTTGAAGATTATTTATATGTAATTTCAAGGAAGTCCAAGAGTTTGTTTATGCAATCCATAGTTCGGGTTGTTGAACATTTAGGACATTTAATTAGGACATTTAGGAATGTAAACTCTTATGCATGACTCTTGACTGCAAAGAAACATCTGGGAATTAAAAACAAAACACCTGTATTATCTGTTTAACATAATTTTCAGTGTATTATGTCCTTGTAATACAGTTTCTATGCCTGCAGGCACTTGGAGGTGTCCCAGGAAGTCAGCCATTATTGCCTAGCGGGATGGACCCAACACGGCAGCAAGGTGAATAAAATATTTGGAGCATACAAAAGTGCTGTCTTTCTAAACCCGTATCTTTTTCCCTGTGTTTCAAAGTGTACTGTAGCTTTTTAAGCTTTTTGTAAAATAGGAAAGAATGACTCATCAAAGTTGATTTAGAAGATGCTTGTATTTTGCATGGTTTTTAAAATTACATAATTTTATTTGCAGGGCATCCTAACATGGGTGGGCCAATGCAGAGAATGACTCCTCCAAGAGGAATGGTTCCTTTAGGACCACAGGTACCTTCTGCAAATAGAAATCATTTTTTATTGAGAGATCTGTACTTATACTGTATTACTCTAGTTCTGCATAGCTTGAACCAGGACTTGTACCTCTAAACCCATTTAAAAATAAAATTTATCTCTGTTAAAAATGAATTTCTAATTGCAGCTTTACAAAGTCTAAAGTTCAAGAATTAGTAATTTTAATTCAGATTTGAAATTAGAAGGAGTCCCTTAGCTTGTTTATTTCAGGAAAGTTGTGTTTTTCCTACAGCTGTTGTATCCTGTAGTGAAAGGCTAGGGTTTGCAAAGAGGCCCAAGTATTGAGCAGGTGTTTCCTCTTACTCCCACCCTATTTGATCATGCTGTTAAGGAGGGAAGAGTTCATCTCACAGTATTACCATCTTAGGCAAACTGTAACAAAAAACAAACAAAAAAAAAGTAAAGTTTTTCTTCATCCACTATTGAGACAGATTTTTAGTGAGTACCAGAGAGATTTTAATGTAAAATTATGCTAGCAGTTAATGCTGCTATTTTTGCCCTATATCAATCATAAACATTCCTCCAGCTTTAATTTCAAGGAGTGAAGCAATCTTGGATTGCAAGAACCTGCCTTCTCCATGGTGCTGACCTGGTTGTAATTGTATATTAGCACTCTCCTCAAAAATGCAAAATATTAGTGGATATTTGTCAGTAATACATTTTAATAATAAACTGAGGTAGAAAATAAATTTATTCCGATGTGTACCTGAAACATGAACCAAAATATTATTTTGTATTTTGTCAGCTCTCTCAGTGAGAGAAAATTTAGGTAGTGCTGTTTTATAGCAATGTTGCCAGTATTTTGTTTATAGTGTGCTTGTTGTGCCCACACTTTGCATTTTTGCTTTCCATTTTAGATAATCTCTCTAGTGGATTCTTTGTTCCTTGGAATAGAAAGTGAATTTTAAATGATTAAATAGCATTGCCTTTCAAATCTGTTCATAACTGCCTTTACACTTTTGTGCCTTCTTGGTAGAAACCAGTTGTTCAGTTTAACACAACGTCTGCTGTGTGACCAACAAACTGTTATTAAACATTTGTTGTTTTTTCTGTAGCATTGAAGTTTATTTACAACTTACGTTTTGGAGGTAGAAAGAGAAGCTTTGCAGCACTGCCATATGAGATTGAGCTGATACTTTATGCAGCACCATTAGTCACACAGCAGGCAAATCTCTTGCCAGTTCTTATAAGGATGATTTTTTTCATTTTTGCTATCTCTTAAAATCCAGTATTTTTGTAAAGTTCATCTTTCTTTCTTTACAAAATATCCTCTTAAAATGGGGAAAACGTAACTTAGCTACGCAAATTTGAGTTTATAACTCAAACTTTTCTATAAATGGATTACCATCCATCTTTATGTGTTGTTTTTAGGATCTTCTCAGAATGCAGTTCTAAAAACAAATTTGATGGATCTTTCACACCTACTTTAAGGTCTTCTTGCTACAGTGCTGTAAAGTTGACCTGGGTGTGCCCAGAATGTGAGGCTCAGCTACCTGGCTGCACAGGCAGTGGACTTGGGAAGCACTTAATGTAGTGATACAGAAATGCTTGTCTCAGCATTTTGTGCTTTATGATTCCGCAGCTTTCCAAACTAAAAAAACATGAAGCTGAAAGCTGAGTACTGTTGTAAATGCTTGAGTGTGTGAATAGCTACAAAGAATTAGGTTCAGGTTTTTTCAAGCCACAGGTACACCACCTGTTCAAGGTGCTCCATGCACGTTGTAATGGGCTACTTACACCCAGTCCCTCATACTTGCTGGTGAGCTTCTCATGTGCTTCCTAATGCATTCAAGTCAAAAATAATTGGGTTATCTTAAATATTTAAAAAACAAGTCTTGGCTAATCTGTCTCATTTTGACCACCTGATGTTAGGGAGCCCTTTTATGAACAACTAAACTACCAGAAAAACAGTGGTGGTGGTGACTTTAAGTAAAATCTGCAAGGAACAAATTAGGGCAGAGAGCATAGCTGCAGCTAAAAGAACATGTGTATCAGTAGCCTTAATGAAAGTGCTCTTATTTTAGGATGAAAGAGTACATTTGATTAGAATTAGCAGTAATTAGAGTTAGAAGTACATTTGATTAGGAGTCTTCCAGTCATGCAGGATTCCATAAAGATCTTTAACCCTGGTCTACACAAATCATTCCAAAACTAAAATAAGGAGGGGAGATACCCAACAGGACAAATAGGGAGAATGGCTCAGCACTCCAAATCAAGATGGGAAAATTAAATAAAATAGATCTGGAACTACTGTTTTTTTTTGTTTGTTTGTTTGTTTTTTAATATAGTTGGCCTGTGTTCTCTTCCAGATCCAGTAGTGCCAACTGAAGATGTTACTGCACCCAGCTGCTTTGACTACCCACCAGTGACTGCCCTACAGTTCTGAGAGCAGTGGTTCAGGCAAAATTTTCTAGGACAACTTAGGTTGAACAGGAGATTTGAGTTATTCTGGCTGACTTTTGACTGAGCATGCACACCAATCAATCTGCCTGCTGCTCACAAAAGTTCAGGAATGAGTAGTGATTTATGTCCGGCAGCTATGGATAATAATATCTTCAGATGGCACTGTTGGATCGTAGAATCATAGAATTGCTGCTCTGGAAGAGGACCTCTATTTACAACCTCTGGGTGTGTTCTTGCAAACTACCTTTGTATGGTACACTTTCAGGACTGTCTCACAATGAAGAAAATTTTATATTTTGGGTTTCTGTTGTTAGCAGTGGGACTTCCTCTCATAGTTCCCTTTCAGTTCTAGATAACTAGTTTATCTGTAATCACTCTACTTATAAACAGGACCAGATTGATAATTTGAATACCTCTGTAGGATTTCTCCCATGTATTCATGATGTCATGTTTACATGGCTTTGTGAATGGGACCATTACAGAGAATACCCATAAGCCTAAGTCATATAGATTTTGTATTTTATAGTATAGTTGTATAGTATAACAATTAATGTGTATTCATTTTTATTATTGGAAAAAAGACAGCAACAAAGAATTAAGTATTTTTAAGTAAATCATTTGCTTATCCCCTTGCTTTCCAAAGTGCACAACCAACATGTTAAAGTCAATAATATTCAGTTTAGAAAATATGCTATTATCCATTTCTTTGGAATATCAGAAAAAATATAGGAAAAAAAAGTAAGAAAAATTAACACAGAATACAGAATTCATTAAGATTGTGAGCTGAGATAGACTGTTCTGCTTGTATTCATCTGAATTAAAATAATTATAGTTTTTCATGTAAACAGTACAGTTAAACTTTTGTCATGATGTGATCAGACCATAAACTCTGATTTCATAGGCAATGGGTGATCCGTTTGTTGGCAATGCTATGATAGTCATTATCATATTAAGTAATTTTTTTATTAGTCACATTGGACATTAGAACTGACTGATTAGAAGAGAAATGTAATGGTTATGCTCTATGTTATAAAAGTGATATCATATGGTGTAATTTTATTTCTTGATACCCTAACAGAGTCTAATAAAAACAATTCTATTTAAATTCCATTATGTAGAAATCTCAGAACTTAAGTCCAGGTTACTGATTTTGAATGAGCTTCCTTGTTATAAAAGTTGAATACATTTTAAAAGCTGTCCCTCTGGCCATTGACTTGATCTGTAGATGTGTAAATAATTCCTCCTGTAAGGATTTACATTTTAAGTATTCTTACCGTATTCCTATTGTTTGAGTAGTAAATGTAATTCTTTCTCCTTGGGGATAACAGTATTATTTTTAAAGTCAACAATGGAAACTCCTGAAAGAATGAATTGCATTGGCCTATCCAGTCAGCAGTTGTATAGGGATATCATTAACCTGCTGTCCTTTCTTTCCCCCTCCTCTTTGGTTTTGTTTTTTTGTTTTGTGGTAGTCTGACCCTTGGTTATCATTGCAGAACTATGGAGGTGCAATGAGACCCCCACTGAATGCTTTAGGTGGCCCGGGGATGCCTGGAATGAACATGTAAGCACAATAATCAAATCTTAAAATATTTAGAAAATCATTGTTTCATTGTGGAAGTAACATTTGGGTTACATAAGACAAGGGTGAGCATGCTTTGATAAGTAATGTGCTTTGATGACTAATAACTGCAACTGAAAAAAAGTGAACCTGCAGCAGCATTCTTCTTCTGCATGCATTTCTTACAGCCTCCTTTGCTGTTCCTCCAGGTCTGTACAATCACTGAGATTTTTTCACAAGTCAAAGTTAAAATTCTGGGAATATTTTGTCAGTACAGTTACTGATATTTCCATGTATGCATTTTTTTACCAGTGACATTATAATCATTTATGGTTTTACGTTAGTTTTTGTGAAGAATGGTACAGGTATGGTCCTTCTCTGCAAAATGACGAAACATAATTTTAGCAAAATAAAACTACTGTCTAGAGCTCTTTGTAAAACAGAAAAAAAAAACCCACAAACATATTTGAATGAAAAAGTGTGGATGATTCTTGCTTTGTTACTGCCTTTATTTCGATTACTATGTTTATTTCCACTCTAAATGTATAGAACAGTACTCCAGATATGAGTGTAAGTTTTCTAGTACTCCTGGGGCTGGATTATCATCTAGTATAAAGTGATATCAACCGAGTTCAGTTTAGCTATATTGATTTATTCCAAATGTGCATTTAGTTATTGGGTTGCATTATTCCATTTACACAGGTAGACAACACCTCTTTGTAGGCATGTAGAAAATGTTTAGATATAAAATTACTGTCTCTAGACTAATATAGTAGTCTAGATTTAAACTATGGATTTTAGCATAGCAACTGACTCAAGATGAGGAATCTTCTTCGCTTGCCATAAATCCTTGCTTGCCTGGAGTTGTTTTTATAATTATTAAAAATAAATAAATTAAAAAAAAATCTCCTTGTATTATATATATATAGATTTCTCTCATAAGAGGCTGCTATAATTACTGTTAGAGTAACACAGACCAGAGGTTATTACCTGGAAATGAAGTATTGAGATAGATAACACCATTAAAAAAAGTCTAATCTGGCATGTCCTTCATTTTTTCTGATTTCTGGACAGACTTTGATTTTTCTAAGCCAATAAAATAAAATCTAAAGTTTGGCATAACTCTATCATATGCATCATATATTGGACTCCAGACAATTTTAGGAACCTTCCCAAGGGTAGGCATTTCTTCTTTTAAATAAAATTGATGTAGAAAAAAATATTTAGATATTGAAATTCAGTGTGAGTATAATATAAGCACTACACAGATTGTCCCCAAGAGGAGATTTAGTTTTAAGAAAAGAAAATGTAGCTTCCTAAAATAAAATGTTCTGGAATTAAAACTGAGGACAGATAAGGTATTTTGAGGATACTTATCCACATAAATGAGAGATAGGAAGAATTTGTTTATTCTTCACATAGAAAGAACAAACAAACATGTTTTCTGACAAAAAGAACTTCTTGTTTGCCATACAGAAAGGAGATGGTTATGGGTTGAAATACTAACATTTTCCCTGTGGCAGCATTTAATAAGCAGGTTTCATCTTGTGTTGAGTCAGTAAGCATCCATAGATCATGTTCTTTTAAATCAGTGATGGAGAAGCACATTTTCCTTAGAACTTGTATGTTAAAGGGGATGCCCTGAACTGGAGACCTTTGGTTAGGGAATTCATGAGCTTTGAAAGAGTGTTTGGTCTTCTGAGAAGAACACCAGGTAGAACAGCAGTTAGGAAGCCATACCCGTAGCAGTCTCCTTGTCTTATCAGGCATGTGCTGCACTTCTGTACATTTTTTACAAACCTCGTCTTTCCTCCAGCTCAGCTTGCTTGGTTTTGAAAAGACTTCCTGCTGCCTCCTTGGCATGCTGGAGGCATAAGGGAGTCCAAAGTGCTCGTCCTGCAGTATTATGCTATAGCATTTGCTGACCTGTGCTACATGCTGAAACACAGACCTTTGGAGTTAGAATATTGCCTTGCTCACATGAATGTTTTATATATATATATTTTTTTTTATTTTATTTTTTTTTCCTAATGAAACCAAACATTTCTTTTTCTTGTATCAAATGGAGGGACATACACTGATCCAAAGGAAAACAAAGGCATCGATGTGGTGTGGGCTTCCTTTAATTTTATTTCTAGACATCACGTTCATTCCTTATTGTAAAGTTTCTGCTGTCAGGTTTGTTGTTACCCTGCAGCCATAGTAAGTACTTGTCTTCAGGCCTGTTCTGCATACAGGATCAAGGCAGAGCACACCTGCAAATGACCTGTGGGCAGTAGCAACAGATGCACCTATGTGCATTCAACTCATTCTCTGTATTACCCCTTACAATTCACCTAATGTACAGCTCTGAGAAAGCTGTACATCATTTAGTGTACTTACATTTCTAGGAAAAGAAGATAACTATACATAAAACTATTGCCTTATGTTAACTTATGTTTGTCTTCACATAGCCATATATCATACATTAAGGTTTTGCACTGTTGTGTTCGATGTTTTTGGCTTTCTGGCAATGTTAAGATATAAAAGCATGTACTCTACAAAAAGCAGATGCCATTTCAAAATCCAGCTTTTTCTCCTGGGAAAGCTTCAAAGGAAGTTGTTCTGGCTAAGAGCAGAATATCAGCCAAATGCAATTTTACATTTTTCTGGATGAGAAAATGTTCTTTATTGTGAAAAATGGTAGCAGCTAGCCTTAGAGCTCATAGACAGTATTTCACTTCATGAACATATACTTCACAAATGTAGTATTTTTAAATAATTCCTTGCTCCATCATAGGTAGTGCATATCAGATTACTGCTTTAAACAGTAGATACATATCCTGTATCTTTTAAAAAATAACTATTTTACCTACAAGGTTTTAAGCTGAAACTTGGTGTAGCCATTTTTAGTAAGATATTATTTCTTCATGGAAACCTGCTCTGTTTAGGAACAAGACAGCAAATTTCAGGGAGCACTGTTGCATTTCTCTGGCACTTTTTAATGGCCTGTGTGACCTGCAGTGCTGTATCAGGCACTAAGAATATCTCATTCATGCCTGAAAGGGAAAAAAATGTGATTTTATTTTTTAACTGCAGCTCACAAACTTGTATCTAGAGGTTTAATTTCTGATGGGATGTATTTGCCAATTAGGAAACAGAAATGCTGGACTTAATTTCTCCATGTGCTGTGGTCAGGGGTACAGGACTAACCTCAACTGCAGTTGCAATTAGTCATAGTGGTAGATATTGTGTAAATTACTCATATTTTGGAAGCAGAGCAATCATAATAATCTTTTATGAGCCTATTGATACTTCCAAAATAAACATTTTTATAAAAGAAAAAAAATAGCTTGCATTGAATTGGAAAAAAAAAATTGCAGGTAGCTTTTTTATGTGTTTTATAAGCTAACAACATTATGCTCTATATAAACCATATGGCTTTCAAGCAGAATCTGCTACAGAGTTTTCTGAGTCTATACTTAGAGCTGTCCATGACTTCCAGTAAATTTGCAAATTCTAACAGCTTTTTAGATGAAAGGTGAGTTTCCTCACTGGAAGCAGCAGTGGTACAGCCTGCAGGATAACGCAGGCATTACATGCGTTTAGCTTTACAAAAAACTTGCATGCTCACCAGAGGTACCATGATGTTGAGAGGAATTTGTTTCCCAGTCTTCTCATAAAACCCACCTAAATTTCCATGTTGCTGTGGCTAACCCAGGCATGTATCTGAGTCAGCTTTTTAACTTCTCCATGCTTCACAGTAATCTGCAGTGTAGTCATGGCCATTTTCCATATGATGTTTTTCAGTAGATATCTTTGTGTCATTTAATGTCACACAAACAATTGCCAGGTTTTGTGGTGAAAACCAACTTCCAGTGTTGTTGCAAATACTGCTGGTTTCTCAGAAAAGGAGGCTCCAACAAACCACATATGGGATGTGACAGAAAAGAAAAAAAGGATTACCTAATATTTCCCATGTTATTATTAGCAGAGTGTTGCATCTGCAAAATCCACTTGTATCAGGCACTGCTTGCATGATGCCATGAGTCCCTTTCCTGGCTAGAGTAAGGCAGCCACTGGCCATTGCTAAAAGCCCTCATGGAGGTATCTTCCAGCAAACATGCTGCATGAAGCAACCCATGGATGACTGCTAGGGTGATGGATTTTTAACCTTCATGGAAGGACCACTGAAGCTGAGAAAAATGCACTCAGAAATGTCTTCCTTTTCTAGTGGGGAAGTGTTTCAGCAAAAAGACCCACTCCTACATTGCTGTTTTCCAACCTCCCATAAATGTGAGCATCATAAAATGGAATGATTCACTTGATTTATTTCAGTTCATTGTTTGAGATAATTTCTTCGTAATAGTTTCGCCAACAATGCAATAAAAAAATGAGAGATTCAATATTAAATCCCTCAAGCAACAATATGTACTTATTGTTTTTACTTTTGCAAAACTTTAAAATAGAATACTTCCTGAACTCATTAATAAAATCTACTTTTATCTCTGTATTTAAATCACTCTTCCAAGTCTGGTAAGCTATTGTGGCTAATGTCCCTTTTCTAAAGCTAATGAGGCCAAAATGCCATTTTTAATGCAATGGCTTTGTCATCTCCTCAGCCTTTCAGTTGTCAGGGCTCTCAAAACATGAATTTGTCTTATTTATAAATAACTAGAAGTTTGTAATGCTACCAAGGATAATTATGGTTATTCACTTGTTATGACTGTAAAACATGGAGATTTTGCTTCCCATATGGTTTGGTTCCCTCACGACTGCCTAGTACCCTCAAGTACACCAAACTATATTTCTGATTTCAGCTAAGAATGAGAAACTCAAAAGAACAGCCCAAGTTGTGAGAAAGAAAAAAAGGTGCTCTATCTGGAGAGTTTTTTCTCTTTCCTTTCCCCATTCTGTTTTGCTCTTAGCATCCGTCTGATGTTTAGTCTGAGCAAGCTTTATCAAAGACTTCCTTGGCTTGTTGCACTCTTGTCCCTCCTGCTAGGAAACTGCTACTTAATCATAAATACACTGTTTGAGCCAAGCGTAACAAGAATGTCTGAGAAGTCTGAAATTTCCATTTTGCCTGGTTTCTGATAAATTTCATGTTTCTGGGACTTCTCTGGAGATAACATATCCTTCGTCAAGTAGAAATCTATTTTTAGATACCTATCTAGATGTGTTTAAAATGTAGGCTTAAAGTGTCATGCTTTCATTTTTTTTATAAATACATATATTAAATATATGTATGTATATACCCTATTGCTGTGCTTCTCAGACACATATTAGAGCAACATATTTTTTGTAGCTTGATATTCTAAAGAACAGTTGTTACCAAAATGTTTGTAAGGAAAGCACTCTTTCCACAAATGCTATATGTGCAGTATTCTAGACCCATACTCAATACATGCATGTATTCACAATTCTTCAGGAAGGTACTTCATTATTTAAGCAAGAATACAGTTTCATGACTCAAATTAAACCTATATTTTTGTAAATTTCTGCTTTGATCTGTACTGTAATGAGATTTTTATGGAATGTGTTATACTTCCCTCAAATGTTATAAAAATTTTAATAAAGTTGAAAGAAAAACACTCTCCCTGAGAAACTTAAAGAATTTTGCAACAGGTATTTCACTCTTTTCACGACTTTTGTAGCACACTAAAATCTTGTAAACAGAGTTAAATTCTTCCCAAACACTAGAAAAGCATTTTAGAGACACATCTGATGCTCCCTAAATTTGCAGGTGCCTGGAACCAGCGCAGAGCTTGGCTTCCTCCAGGCTGGCCACTGGCAGGGTAGCTGCTGGTGGTGGTGTCCTGAAAAGCTCACACATACACAGAATAAGTTAGGACACGAGCTGTCTAACATGTAAATGGCAGGGCTGTAGTCATAAATAAATCAGCTCATTACTGGTGAAGTGAAGAAAGTAGTGCAACAATGTCAACTTTTCTGTAGCACTGTAGCTTGGTGCACTTATTGTTGATGATACTCTATAATGTCATCTGAAGAAAGCCATCTCTTAACTTACTCTGGAAACAGACTGCTTTGAAACGTTTGCTTCCTTAGAACAGGTCAGAAGCCTGGGGATTGTTCTGTGTCTCATCGTTCGTCTTCTCTTACAGGGGCCCTGGGGGTGGTAGACCTTGGCCAAACCCAACCAATGCCAATTCTGTAAGTAAATATTTAAACATACTAAAATCATCTTATATGCAGAGAATTATTTCTCATCAACATACCAGGAAAAAAAATCAATTCAACATAAATAAAAATAATGCTTTTGTTGTTTTTGTTTTGTTTTGTTTTGTTTTGTTTTGTTTTGTTTTTTTTCTTCCACTAATCCTAAGGCAGAATAGGAACAGTGAAGTGAGGAGCATGTCTTAACAGAGAACTCACTGACCTGAAAATATCCAGCTCTATTCATAATCATGCAGCCACACTGCGTCTCCACATAAGTTACAGACCTTCCCTAACACAAAGGCTACCCTGGGGGATATTTAAAATACCTTCTATACTTTCTAGCTTCCTTCAGTGCAAGTAGGAAGAGTTAGGACAAAACTGTCTGTCTTGCAAGCTCTACAGAAACGACAACGTGGGAAGATCAGCTTAATGTGTGCTCACATATTTCATATAATAAAAGCACATTTGCTCCTGGTAACTAGGGAAGGTGGAATTGTAGACATAACCATTTTAATATGCTTTTTCTAACAAGAAGTGCACTTTATTGAATTTTGTTGGAACAAATAAAAAAATGAGGTAGTCTAACAGCAGCTTGAAGGGAGGTATCCCATGTGAAAAACAGTACCTGGTATTTCTTCAGAAAATACAAAGGTAAAGCTTCAATTTTCATGCATTGGTCATATATCATTAGTGTAAAAATGTCTCCCTTTTTAGCACTTGCAGCAGGATAAGGTAGGTCTTATTTAACAGACTAGACTGGTTCCTTCTGTTCTTTATTTTGAATTTTTAATTATACTGGATGACAAATGGATGACAAAAAAAGAGCTAAAACTCCTTCTCAGTTTTCTTTAGTGTGTACTGAAATAAGGTGGTTGTTAGGATATTTTTCAACTGACAGTTGAAAATATTCTCACTTTACAAAATTATTGAGAAGTCTAGTAATAGATACATGTGAAAATGAATTGGCTGATCAGTTATCTACAAACATGTAAGATGCTTATTCTACAAAATAATTTTGCATTTGGTCAATTCAGTTACTTCTTACCCTATCCTTCTATAATAGCTGTGCTCTGTGTTTCGGTAGAGAGAATCACTGAAAAGACTGTTGCATAAAGAATAAAACTGGGTTATTCGTAGGCAATTCAATTTCTCCCTATGTCCTTTGTAACAAATACGATAATTGAATTTGACATGAAATTAGAACACTGTTCTTTAAGTTAAAAAAATAAAATAAAAAAGGAAAGAAAAGAAAAAAAGAAAGAGTAATGCAAAGAAATAAAATCAGTATCGTCTACGGTGAAAGAAACAAGAGTTGCTTTCCTTTTATGGTCCAGACACTAATCAAGATTAAGTGCTTATGACAACATACAAATTCAGTCCATGTACAGGATGATATTACAGTCCCACTGACTTACATGCAAGTTTATGCTCCTTAAGTTTCCACCTTATAAAGCATATTACATTAATAATCTTACAGCTTAGCCTTTCACTCTAGCTTGCAGATCTTTACAGAGCTTATTCTGCCTCCCACAATAATAATAAAATTTTGTAATAGATGGAAGGAATGAAATTGGTACTGGAATTTGTAATTTGGTATCTTAAGAGTGATGTTTGTTGCTCAAAATGCATGCCTCACTAATTACAAAAGAATAGGAACAGATACCAGACCTCAGCCTGCATACATTTTAATGTATGAATTATGTTATTGACTTATGATATTGACTTAATTAGAATGGCAACCAGAGCACAGTATTCTTAAGTAGAAATATTTTTAAGTATTTGATTTTAAATTCAGTTTATGTCTAAATTGCAAATTTTAGACTTGAGCATACTTATAATGACAAGTTGTTGAAAAGAAAAGGGGAGAAAAGGGGTTTGTATTTGACAACAATAGTATGTGTTCATCATCTTTAACAACATATTTGAAATAAATTAAACAAATACTCATTAAGCTACATCTGTACATAAATGTAGGTTTGGACTCCATCTCACTGCAAAAGAAATTACTGTTTTTTTTCTGTTGATGTTTCAGATACCTTATTCTTCAGCATCTCCTGGGAACTATGTAGTAAGTACACTTGTATGTGTTTGCTTATTAGAATAGATGTTACATTTTATTTAGGCAAAGAGATGGTAGTCCAGATGTTAAGAAGAACCCTTGTGTATTGGTTGAGAACTGAACAGCTGATCTGCACTTAGTATTTTGTCTACCATCTATGGTGCATATGTTGATGTTCATTACTAGAATCATTATCAGTCTGGTCAAAATTGCCCTGAGTGCTGTTTTATTTCAACATATGTTTATAATAACCAATACAATATATTGTCTTGAATAATAAGGAATGAACAAACAAACAAAAAAAACAACAGCTTTCTTGGAAACACAGTATTGTGTATGCATTTCTGTACTTCTCCAGGAAAAATTCATTTGAAGAATTAGAACAAGCTTTTGTGTCCCCAAGGATATATAAATGGGTCCTAATAGCTAACATTTTAGGTACATTTTTTTTCTTATAATTACCTTCTGGAGACTTGATTTTTTTTTTTTCTCCATGGTCTGTTATGTCTTTATTTCACAGACATTGTCTTAATTTATTATGAATTAGTCATTCGTTTGGCTTTTTCCTAGTCTATACTTGAGAGTGAAATAGTTAAAACTTTGTAAGTGTCCAGCATTGGTCAGTCATTCAAAAGACAAAAAAATGCCTATTATCTAACCGGAATTCCATAAAAACATTTTACATAATAACAAAATAGTCTTTGTTGGAGTATGTACTGCTGTTTTCTGTCCGTTTCTCAAGAGATTAGCTTTGTTTATGCTTTTTATTTAGGCTTTTATTGTTATTGTTGTATTTGGAATATTTGTAGTTCTAATGTACTCCTATAAGTCATAGTGCTTCATGTATTTTTGCCCCGTTCAGTACTGAAGTCAGAGTGTAAGGGGCAGAGAATGTTATCTCCCTTCTGAAGCCATTTGTCATATGTCATTCTTGTTTGCAAGTCCATTGGATTCCAATTTCTGTTGGCCAGTAAGGCTTCCGTAGACTTCTCTTGTGATTTTTCATGTTTTATCATCTGGAAGTTAGACAACTGCTGTGTATTGGCTTAAGTCAACATACAATGTGAAGCTATTTTGGAAGATGGAAATAGCAAGTCTTTCACCATGAGGACAATATAGAAGTGTATTTTTTTTAATCTGTTTGTGCTAGTTAAAGGTTTCTCTTAATTTCTTCATGGGAAAGATGATCCTGCATAGCAAATGCTGAAGGATGAGTTCAAGGATGAGCTTGTTTTGTTTAGATAAAAGATATTTATTCTGTTTTTTATTTAAACAAACTACTAAAAAGGTTAAGTTCTTGTTAAGTGTCCATAATTCTAGGGTTCATTTGCCACATCTGTAGTGGGAATGATCTAAATCTGATGATCTCCAAACAGGTTCTTCTAAAAGATCTTCAGAAATTTCTCTCTGTTGGGAAGAATGTTTTTGCTAGTTTTGCCCTAGGTATTAGTGATCAGTTACTTTATTTTTAATAAAGTAAAATTTTTAATATGGGACATTGGACTTCATATTCTAGTTTTGGAAAGGTATGAAGTCCTGAAAAATTAGAAAAGGACTTACTATAGAAATTAATTTTAAAGAAGCAAAACTAAGTAAAATGCATGATGTACAATAGGACTCTGTTAGTGTACTCACGTCAAGCCAAAGGTTAGCTGGGATAAATTACTTTGACACAAAAGGACATCACCACATTTCAGTGCATAGAGAGAAGGGGAGGAATAAGAGTAACAAGTTCATTTTGCTTCATGCACTAACAATGATGAGACTGAAGCTGGAATGTGCAACATCGAATTCATTGAAACATCTAATATGCAACATTGAAGGAAAATTAAAATATATGCAAAAATGCAAGAAAGAGACACAAAAAAGTCTGAAATACTGGAAAAAATCCTGAGCCTCTGAGCAGATGTGCTCTGTGGACTCCAGCGGTTCCAATGGGAAAGGTTGCTGCCTGATTCCTTGTCCCCACTCTTCTGAAGTTTACTGCTCCTTCAGATCTGCCACTGAAGCTCCTTGGATGAGTGACCCTCGTCATTCAAAACAATGCAAGTTGATGTAAGCATTTAAAAAAAACAGGTCTTTGCTAAGTCGGTGTGGTTGGCCCAAAACAGGTTAAGGGACACTCAGCTGTGGAGCTCCAAGCAGAGCTGAGGCTGCCTCTCGCAGAGGGCAGTGTTGGAGCAGTTGAGGTGGGCCAAGTCCTTTGCCAGCATGAGTGCTTGGACTGTGCATGTCTCATCTCACACTGAGAGAGGTGGCCTTGCTTCAGGGAGGCTCTCTGAGCTTTAGAAAATGGAACACATGAGGGCCAGCCAAACAGACAACCAGATAAGCAAGACCAGGGGGAAGGAGCTTTCAAAAGCAAGACCCAGGAGCAAGCATCTAGGGGTTGGTCTGGGCTGGAGAGCTCTTAAAACATCTTTTTAGCAAAGGGGTTCATGTTGTGGAGCCACATGCTTTGTACATTTATTCTGGTTATTTTATCAGACAGCTTTTTGAGAAATAATTTCATTATATACAAATACATTCACAGGGAGGAAATACTTGGTACAAGTAGGCTTTCTAAAATGGGAAGATACACAAACAATGAAAGTAAACATGAATTTTAAATTAGATGCTAATAGTAATAGTGAAGAAAAGTAAGTTTTCTCATAAATGACCAGTTAGTGGTTTCTACATTTCTTTATATCATGCTGAAAAATACATATAAACCTAAAAAAAATCAAGTTAGGGAGCTTAGTGCACAAGTACATGGATGAAGAGTCACAGACTGTGCTAGCCAGATAGTCAGATAATTGATCTAAAGGTCCCTTCAAATTCAGCATCTGTAGCTCTACAAAAGAAACGGGATTTTTTTTCTGATGGCTGAATAAACCTTTCAGACATTTTTGGCAAGCCCAGTTCTAACACTGCTATTACTGATTCAGTTGTAATTTGGAGGGAAAAAGCTTTGTAGCTGCTGGAAGTATGAAGTTATGTTGTGATTATGCCTTGATTTTTGTAAGTTGATCTGTGTATTTCATGGTGGAGCAAGCCTTTATTCTAGCACGCTTTATAAAAAATACTCAGTGACCTTTCTTAGTTCACAAAAAATGGGAGAGCACAAGATAAAGAACTAGTAGGTGGTGTTACATGTAAGGGCAGAGAGGTGTACATATGTTGACTGACTGCAAGAATGTGCTGCTGCTTCTGGGTGAAATATTTCTGTTTCATTTACAATTAACTGTGAGTTAATTGCTTACTGGCAAACAGAGATACTTGCCTTTGAAGTGTTAAGTATTTTGCTTGAACGAATCTGGGGAGGAGTGGTATCAGTCAGAGGGCTGCTACATTACAGACTTTGATTTTCTGAAGATAGTGTATGCGAGTGTATTATTGCTATGTGTTTTGTAAGAAATGTTATTTTTAGTAAATCACTATTTACAGTAAACAGCATCTTTTGTTTTAAATCCAAAACTTGTCTGGCTTCTTCCAAGATATCTTAGTGAATTATAGCAAATACCAGTAAAGACCTTGTAAGCAGACTGAAACAACCAAACCTTTATCTTCGGTACTGCTGAAAGAAAAAAATCTGCTACTGTTTGGAGCAGTATGCCTGATATCTAAAATACAACAAAAGGGATAAAATATAATAACAGTCATGTAGCAATGGAGTTAATCACCTGTTGTTACCAATCTGTGTATTTTTTATTGTGGAAAGGAGGGGGAGTTTGTATTTATTGACTTACTGATATTTTTTGGCCTAGATATTTTTATCAACCTGATTTGGTAGCTTTTCATGTTACTTAAAAGTATTAGTGGATCTGCAAACACAGAAAGCAAGAAGTTATGATTCTGTTCTTACTAAACTAATTGTTTGCTCTGATGTTCAGAGTAAAAATACTGGAGACGTTTTTAAAGAACCTTAATAAGCTTGTTTAACAACCAGAGCCATCTGTGTACAGTGTTTATGCATAAACAGATTTGCAACACAGAAATGCCTGAAACTAGGAAAATAATACTCCTTTGTGTTTTTTTGTTTTGTTTTTTATTTTAATCTGTGATTTAGCAGTCTAGGCAAGTCATATGACTATACCCAAATTTATACAGTCAGCATTATATTGACTTTTTTTTTTTTAATCCATTTGTCATTAATTTGAAAAGGAATTGTGTATATGGATGTTATTTCTAAAAATGCAGAATATTATACAAGCTGAATTAAATTGTCTGGGATATGAAGATACCAAGTATGCCTGAAAGCAAAACCTGTCATACAGTGACTGGCCTCTTCTCTTCCCGTAAGACACCGCCTCACTTTGTGCTTAGCAAACATCGGCTACCATTGTGCCAAGCACAACAAAAAAGAAATGCTGGTTAAAAAACAATGGTAACAAAAGTCAGTTAAGGTTATTAAATATAATAGTCTCAAGTCCTAGTCCAAATATTTCTTTTGCCTGACTTACAGCATGATGCATACTTATTGACTAATGAATGTTCTCAGATCAGTATACATTAGTCTATTACAGAACTTGCTGAGTAATTACATTGTCTTAATCTGTTATAAGTTGTTTTGCTAATTTATCAGAAAATGTGTATGTTTTATCAGAGTGACTCAGGACATTCATGACAATTTGTTTTCATTTGTACAGTGTTCATATTTTCTGTGGTGTTTTTTCCTCTCAAGCTAACTGACATTTTCTATACTCTCTAGGGTCCCCCAGGTGGTGGAGGGCCACCAGGAACACCTATCATGCCTAGTCCAGCAGGTATTGAAATATCCTCAGAAATAATAAAGGAAAATTAGAAGAGATTTTAGGAAGTACCTTATTTTTTTCCAGACTTTGATGACATTTTAGACATTTTCATAATGAATCAGTTAATGAGAAATTATTAGCTTTGTACCTTCTGTATCAGCTTTTTCCTGCTCTTTCACTGTTTTTCTATCCCTGCTATGTTGCAGACACAAATCATTGTATCCATGCAATTCAAATCAATTAATTTCTCTGACTTTTGAGCGATCTTTTATTGCATGATTCCAGCAGTAGCAAGGGGAAAAAAAAAAAAGACAAAAGACACAATCTTTGTTAGTTCTTGCTAATGGTCTTTGGAATGATCCTGCCAGGTTGGAAATCAGCAGATTTCTGAATCTGGTGAAAAACCCACACAGTATCCTGTGGGATAGACCTAACCAAATGTGGTTCTTGGCGATGTGTGACTCAAAGGCATGGCTACATCCCATGGCTGTTTCAGCTGACTGACAGCTGGGTCACGCTGGACAGATTGCCCTTCTCTGTCCTTCAGTGAAGGAGTAAGGTCCCGGAGGAGCTACTGTTGTGTCCTAGCAGTGATCTGTTCCCAGAACTTCACTGTCCCACTGTTTCCCCAAGGTAAATGGCTTGTATCTTGCAATTCTGAATGCCTGGTCACAAAAGATTTTCTGCATTATGACTAAGGTTTGAAGAACCAAAGAGGATGGGAAGACTCAGAACAGCCAGCTAGCTTCTCAAGGCTTAAAGATGGTTAGCTAGATGTAAGTATTTCACTCCACTGATGTTCTGCAAAGATTCTGTTATGAAAGAAGAACTGCAAGATGTGGAAGATGCTGTCCTCCCCCATGGATGATATCAGAAGCCTGACAAGATGAAACAAATATGTCTTGTGTAACACAGTATTCAGGGGCAAAATCTCTCTTTGCAACTCACTTTCAAGAGGGACCTATTCACCTCAGTGATGTTATAGCATCCTCAGTCCTTAAGTCTGTTTTCTTGCTGTCCTCTGCAGCACAAGAGGGTAGGGAATTTTCTAATTTGCCATGAAAACTTCTTGCACCAATATAATACTTTCATTAACTACAATCCCAGGGCTTTAAAATGCAACCCGAGATAAAGAATAGGGCTTCCTTGTTCATATAATTAGTGAAAAAGATAGTTAGTGCAAACTGGTATTCAAAAGTTAGAATTTCATTTAACATAAAACTTAAAGACAGCCCATGCATTTCAATATGGTCAGCCCTGCAGTTATAGCACCTGTTAGGCTGCCCAAGTTCATTTCAGATAAAGCTTCTGTTGAGGAATTGTTCCTATTTTCAGTTAAGGAAATTCCAAGATGTTTTAAGACTCTATTTTCCAAAGTATGGAAACACTTGGAAACTGGCTACCTGAGAATTTTGTAAAGGTACTGACTTGCCTCTGAGAAAAAACAGTTCCAAGCGTTCCCATGGCCCAGCCACCCTGTATGTATTTCTACATGAGGCCGCACAACATGGGGAGAGGCAGGAATATGTTTCAGAAGGATCAGGTGGTTGAAGAACTTGCTGTCAACCTCATTGAACATTAAAATAACTTGTTATGTGCTAACTTGTTATGGTACTTTGATAACTTTAGGTTAAAAGCTTGAGTTTCTCCTCTTCTTCAAACAGTATATTTAATGTCATAGTGATACGCTGTGGGCTGTATGTAATAGAATTATTTACTCACAAAGGTTGATTAATACCTAAAAAGCTGCATCAGAAAGGTTAAAGAATAGTCAAAGACTTGATTTGAACTACATGTGTACAAACATATTCTTGCATGAGGTCAGACCCTGTTCCCAGTTCCAACACATTTCAGTCAGATACAGGCTTTCTTGCTTCCACTACTTCAGACTGAGAAGTCTACCATCACCTTGTCTTGGAAAAAGATTTACAGCTCAGCATTGACTTTTGTGTGTGCTTGAGTTCAAAACTCTGGTTCAAAGAGATGGAATGGTCTTTTGGAGGAACTAGGTACAGAGTAGAGTACTTAGTTATTCTTTATTCTTTTTGCACATACAGTGGACGTACTGATTTTCCAGCATTACCAATATATTTTTAAGTTATGCTGTCTGTTTGGGGATGTATTTAAACTTTTCTTAGGTCATTCTCCTCATAGTAAGCTTTTTCATTCCATGGCCCAACTCTTGTCAAGTTCACTCCAGAAAGGATTTTGCTACTAGACAAAGGTTTTGTCTACTATCTGCTGTGTTTTCCCTTCTCTTAGAAATTTGATGAAAGGCTTTGGAATTGTGTGCATTAGCAGATAAGTTGGAGATGAGAATAAAAAATTTGTATCTACTAGTAGTTCTCAGTTACTGGTTCCTTAATTTCAGCCAGACAACTTCTGCATGTCTTGATCACTACACCTTGCTTTTCACTCTGGAGGTGCTGCTCCTGAAAGCACATGTACAGTGACTGGAGGACAAGGACTGAGAGGCAATATAGCTGTGTCAACAGCAGTGCCCAGTGGAACTCTTGGCAGAATTAATAGCTTAGGCACTACACTGTGCCAGCATGGTTTTATTGTTTTTGGACTCAGGTTTATTTTGAAGCATTGCACCACACTGTACCGTGAAGTTACATCAGTCAAAACTGTTCTAAGTGAGGATCTTTGCATAATGCTTTACTGAGTGTGCCTAGATTTATACTCAGTGTGCACAATGCTCTAGATATGTCCAAAATCTAACAGACTGACATGGATGAGAATAAAAAATTCTATTTGCTATACTAACTTGAAGTCTGTATAATGAGAAGCTATTTATCATTTATTACAGATGGAAAACAAATTACAGAAAGTATTGATAAGTAAGAAGCTCCTGTTTCATCTTATAGAGAATACTGAAGACAAGTGAAATAATTTGGAACTCCAGGAAAAAGGGTTTATGAAATTAAATAGTTACAGATACTTTGTGATTTATAAACCTTTTAACATTCATACATAGAACTAGGGTCTAGAAATAGTCACTCAGGGACCACTGCAATTATTTCTTTTCATAGCTGTGTTGTGTGGTAGAAATAGATAGAAAAAGAATGGAGTCTTCCTTTATATTGCCACTGTGTATCAGTGATTCAGGCATAGAAATAATATGAATAGAATGGCAAGAACTGTCTTAGGTGAGTAGCTTTATTGAAAGATATATATTAGCACTTAAAATAATCTCTTATTACAGATTCAACCAACTCTGGAGACAACATGTACACTTTAATGAATGCAGTACCACCTGGACCCAACAGACCTAATGTAAATATGAATCAAGTTACATACTTTTTGAATTATATAGCCTTGTTTTATCCAAACCACTACGTTTCCATCACCTATGTTTAATACTAAGTTTTCCATTTTTATGGATGACATTTTAGCTGTTTCCTCCCACCGTGTCCAGTTTAATGTTTCTCAAATCAATCATGCGAATGCATACAAAATAATGAATGTGGGGGCACTTTTTCTATACAAAAAAGATCTTAAAAACTTTTGCATGTGGATGTGGGGGATGATTTAGTTTGTCACATTGCTGTGCAATAGAATTATTTGTGATGTCATCATCCTAGGAGATGCCACTAAGCATTTGTTTCTGCAGGATTAAAACTTTCTTAATAAAAAAGTCTCCACCCCAACAGAAATGTTTAAAGTGACCCAACATTATGCTATCCTGCTATTCTGTAAAAAAAAATAAAATTAGTATCTTTAAGAAGAAATAAATTTCTGTTTTAGGCTCAACTTTAGCAGTTCTATTACTGACAAAAATCTGTTTTCTTAGGTAGAACTTGTTTCTTTTCTGATCTGTGTCTGTGAGATCAGACTTCAATTTTATTGTATTTTCTGATTACAACCATACTTCACTTAATTATAGTTTATATTATGGGCCTTATGAAAAGCAAAGACCAGTAAAACTTCAAAAACCAGATATGTATTTCTAGATAACTATTCAGTGATTTATAAAAAATATTTATAATGTTAATGCCTTTTAGATTTTGAAAAACTAAATTTAAGGTTAATACCTGAGATTGGACAGAAATGGCTCATATTGCAAAGAAAACAGAGAGTAGTCTGACTGTCAGTGTAGATAGGGTGACATTTGAAAGCTGTTAATTAGTCACCTACTTGTTGAAGAAAATAGTAAACCTCACTGTAACTTCAGTGGGAACAGAGCTAGATCAGCACTAGCAGGTTTGAAAATCATACACAAAGCACTGAAATAAAATATAAATTATCTGTAAATTTTATGCCAGCCTACAGAGATGGAATTCTCAAAAAATCAGGAAGGCAGCAATCAGAAAAAGTGAACAAAAGCAATGATGCTTTTACAGTCTTCACAAATGACTTTTACCTGACTTTCACATTCAGAGCTGGAACTGTGCACTTTTCCTTTACTATTTTTTTTTCCTGGGGAATCTTTTCTTTTTATTAGATTACCTACAAAAATTTGTACAGTAATACCAGTTTTTAACGTCTGATCCTTTTATAGTTTCCAATGGGGCCAGGGTCAGATGGACCTATGAGTGGACTGGGTGGAATGGATTCACATCATATGAATGGATCATTAGGTAATAACAGTAATATTACAAGCATTGTGAATTTTCAATGACCAGTGCTATTTTCTATGTTCTCTGAGTGATGTGGAAAACTGGATGTAAAAAACAAGCAAAACCACCACCACCAACAAAAACTTTTAAAACCAAAAATTGTGTATATATCAGTAAGAAGTATTAAGATACTTTTAATGCATTTGAATTGGCATACATAATACACCTCTGGAGGAAAAATACTGTGTTTTATGTATATAACAGATATAGTTTTAATCCCGTTATTAAAGCCACTCTGATGATGGCTTAAGACCCATTTTTACTTACCTCTCCTCCTCTTTCAAAAACTTAAGAAGGTGTTACTGTGACATGCTGGTGCAAGTTCTTATCAATTACCTGGAAGTAAGTTATTATGTATATTGATGTATTTGTTAAGCGGTTTTTATCCCAACATTCGGATATCCTTGTTTGTCTATATAATTATCCTTCTGTCTGTTAAATATTAGTATTACTATTCCATCCCCACAACAAGCTTCGGAAAGGTGCAAAGACTGTGTAGAGGCAGGAGAAGCAGGTTACTATTTGACTGTTGAGACTATGATTTTTGAAGGACTCATGTCTAAGGGAGAAGCCTTGCACAACTCTACAAATTTCCATTGCTTTATCTGTTGACTGTCCTGGCAAAGTCTGCTGCCTTTGCTCTTTGCTGGAAGGATGATTGACTCTTGAAAGGGATTTAAGAAAGAGGGCAAAGGTAAATAAAATGCATTTCTGCCTTACTCCTCCATACCCACAAGATAAATAAAGACAAGGTATTTATTTCTGCTCATACTGTAACACTAGGGCAGTAGCTGAACGCATTTGTGTGTCTTACTCTTCACTTCTGTCTGCACCAAGCAGTGTTGATGATACAGGCAACAGCAGAGGGAGGACTTTCTTTGGATCTCTTTCCTCTTCTTTACCTGTTACCTACCAGCAAGGTTCTCTTTTACACCTGAGAGCTGTCCTGATGCCCACACAGGGCACCAGCAACTTTTTGCTGAACAGCATTTTCCCTTATGGGGAAAAACCCCACCAAGCTAAATACGTTAGGCAGGCAGAAGCCAAGCTGCTACTGTTCCCTTTGCTTCTGTCCCTGAAGAAAAGATCTATCATCTTCCCAGCACTGACACAGACCAACCTCAGCTCCACACTGCAGTTAATAACATTTAATTCCATACTTCCTTGGTGGATGAAGATCTGTCATTCATAACCCCAAAGTTGGAGATTTTGAGACAGAAATATAAACAAGTGAAGCGAAGGGAGAAATTCAAAAAGTGCATAACAAGATAAACTATATTATCAAAACTCATTTAGCAGATATATTCTGAATGATTAAAATTCAGCAGTACACATCTAACTCCTAATAGAGCTCTCTTTCTTTTTTTCCATTTTTCCATTTTTTCTTTTTTGTTTTCATTGGAAGGCAGGTCCCTGGAATTCCTAGATTACTTTGCATAAGGACACCTTGTGATTTTACATCCTTTCTTTACATATTACAGTCCTAAAACGGATTGTTGCTTTAATTGATAATGATGCTCATTATGTTCAAATAAATGAGAATCTGTGTAAAAGGTAATCACATCTTTTTCTGTCACTTTCCATACCCTGAGAATTATCTCTTAGCTAAAAGAAAAATTAAAATTGAAACAGTTACGGAAGGATTTTATGTGTACCTAGCATTCACTTAGTTACTTTCTCCAGTGAAAATGGTGACGTATTTAGTCAAATTATGTATGCCTTCTTCCCAAGGTTAATTTTGTATCTGAAATGAAACAGTTCTTCTCAGAGAGGAGGGCTGGGAAAGATCTTCTGCTTTTGTTTCTGTGCAGCAGTAGGCAGCTTTGTCTCACGCTCAAAGGTATCCATTGGATGAGCTTCATCTCAAACTTCAATTTCTTTCACCACAACTGTTCTACTGGATGTCTGTACATAGCTCTCATTGTTAGAAAGCAAACTTTTGCTGATTTCCATCAAAATATTTTTTTTTGGCTTTTTATAAATAGCTCTTCCTCTCCCTAACATTTATGAATATGATGCGTTTATAGAGAGACATCATAATCCTTATCAATCCTTATTTTTTGTGTCTACATGTAGTGAGCCATTTCAGTCTCTTCCTTTTGTTTTTCTCTGATGCTCTTCTAGTTTGAATGTCTTTCTTGAAAATAAGTGGTCAGAATTTACTGTCTGTTGCTGCTAAAAATGCCTGTAGTGATACATCTCTCGTAAAATATTTCCCTTATTCTTGGCTGTACCCAAGTGAGAGTTACAGCATGTGAAATATATATTCAATACTCTTGCCTTCATTGTATTTAAATTTATTTGGTTTCTGTTATTCCAGCCCTCAAGATCATCTGATTCTAAAAGATAGTATCATCAGTGTTTATAATCAGAAGTTAGTGTCATTTCATCCAGTTTCAGAAACCAGTAGGTTTCTGCTCTGGGAACAAAGATATTCATGAAACCCTTCCAGATAATGCTAAAAGATATTCCACTAGATCACTGACTAGAAGGGAGTTTTGAATGGCTGAAGTTCAGTAAAATCATGGTCTTTTTTTTTTTTTTTTTTTTTTTCTTTCCAGGAACATTAACCTCTACTAGTCATCCGTATTTTTTCCCTTAGTCTTCAGCAACGTTTCCTATAGGAGTATGTACCCCAAATTAATTTCAATATTTGTACCCTGCCCTGGCTAAGAGGACAGGGAGGTTCAACATGCTCTTTTTTGAGTTGTGCCAGGCTGTCTCACCCTAGTAGGATGCCATTCAAATAACCAACACAAATCAGAAATATGTCCTTCATTCTTTTCTTCCTTTTTACATGAGGTGTGTACACAGGACTAACATTATTCTATACCTACTGTAATCTTTTACAAAGAGAGTCATTGGGAAGGAAAGGAGATAATGCACTGTTATGTTCTAACATACTGCTGTCACATTATATATTTAGTGTGGAAGAAAAGCTCTTCAATTAATTTCAGCTCAAAACTAATTGAATAATTATCTATTTTAATTTAAGGCTCAGGAGACATGGACAGTATTTCCAAAGTGAGTACCTAATGAAGTATTTGGAATTTTTGGAATATTTAATTCTAAACATAGTTTCTTTGGTTTTGTTATGAAGCATTTTATTATGTGTCTACATTTTCTGCTTGTCAACTCTTTGGAAGCTATACAGACAGTATTAGCTGAAAATTCAAAAGCAGTGTTTATGATCAATAGGGAGTGTAAGTAGAACTATTTCTTACTGCATAATAATGTGTATTAATTTGTGTCATTAATACTTATCCGGTTCATAATCTGATTGATCATGTTATAATCTTCCATACTGTTAAGACAAATGAATATGGTTCTGATAATCAATTTTAGTTAAGTTTGGGAAAATGTCTTTAGGATGTTACTTTTAAGCACTGCGTGATTGCTTTTGTTACCTCTGTAAGGCATGGTTAATATCTTAATCATTATTCTAAGTCCCTAAAAGCTAGATTAAAAAGTAGTTTCAGAAGCAGCACTGTTTTGATTTCACAGCCATTAAATAGTATGCTCAAAATGAATGTGAGTTTAACCTGCAGGGGTTTTGAATTTACAAAAATAATATTGTGCTTTAATGTGCCGCTTCTTCCATAAAAATAAAACTCTACTATGTATGTGATCATTATTAATTTAGTAACTTATTCAAATAAGGAATTAATGAGCATATTTGGTATTGATAAAGTGGCATAAATCTGTCCCTGCAAAATACTCTGTTTTGTACTCAGCATTTTCAGGCATAACTGACTCAAACTAATAAATACATCACTAAAACAGTCTCCCTGCACTTACGAGCTTTTGATCTACAAATATAGAAGAGGATGAATAGATTGTTTCAGATAAAATTCTGTAACTCATTCTTTTGTTGCAAAATTCTTAACAGTCTTCCCAAAAAGGAACAGGAGTTTGCAGGGAGCATATGAACTGCCTGTGCATTTTGTCTGACTGAGGACTAAGTACCACAGCGCTGTTGCAGGATCACTCTCAGTGCAGACTGTGCCACTTTGCACCTGTCTGCACATGCTCTGGACATGCTGAGGATGTTGATGTAGATGCACCCTCAGGATGGCCTTGAGCTACGATGAGACACAAACATATGAGTCAGAAAGGAACAAAATGTTTGCCTAAATTCACGTGGGTTGACATAAAAGTTTGTAGTGTGAATTGGCTGAGAACACACTCTCAGATGTTCAAAAGACTGGAGTCATTCTGCAGCTAGTGGTACCTATTTGTATATCCAAAGTGGAGGACAAGGACCCTGAACAGTTCCCAAGTTTTGGTCTTCGTGTGAGGCTATGGGAGATGTGTAGCTTGTAAAGTGTACTTAGGTGTGTATCTTCGTGTTCTGTGCTGTCTGTCATGGCTTTGCAGCCACTGCCAATATAGAAGACATAATCTTGCATCAGAAGAAATTCACCACAGGTGAACACTGTCCTTTCAAAGTTGTGCAGGTGGTTATGGCCTTGCAACAGCCCTCCCTTGCCTTTGGTGGAGAGCAGGATCTCAGCAATACGTCTCCAAGGCTATTGCTGCTCCTGTGAGGGAGTAGCATCTATAGCAATGCTACGTGCTTGTAAATGTTCAAGATCTGTAATGTTTTCAGACCCCACAAAGAATAAAACAAGGGACCAAAATGACCATGTTGCCTTAGCTGTGCTAATATGTGCAGTGATGGATTCAATGATAACAAGTGTATAGCACTTTAAAAATCATTGTCCCTATTTTTTCAGTATATTTTGTTTTGCAAACTACAGCATTTTTAAGAAAAAATGAAAAACAAAACAAACAAACAAACAAAAAAAACAACAAAACAAGCAAAAAATATGTTAGTTTGCTATAGGATTGTTTTTAAGGGACCATATTCAATCCAAATGCATTAAGTAACAGCATGTGTGCTAGTATGAATATCAAGTATTCTGAAAACCTGGATCCAGACACTTACCTGGAAGTCTTGTAATCTGTTAACCTTAATAAATGCATCATGCAAATCACATTTGATGCATGTCTTTTTGAAATAACTGAAAAAAGGTGTTTTGGAAATAGCAGAGTTGTACTGTTACACCATTCCATATAATGGCTTTTAAATACCTTTTTCTGAGGAGTCCTGTCCAATATGCAGCCTTTATTTGTACTGATAAAAATGTGTGGGCAGAGCCTTGTGTATTGCATTTATGATTTCAGGCAGGTGACAGTATGCAATACTTTTGAAACTAGATTGGAAAAGTTCTGTTTGCAAGGCATAGACAATGTCAGGGGTTGATGCATGGAAAATAATTATATGGCTGCCTTCCAGTTTTGTACCAGTAACCAGGATTGTTCCTGCTAAGGTAACAGTCTCCCTGCTGGCTTTTTCACAAGTAGGTTTCCAGATTTCTGATTAATGTGACAGGAATTGCTCACTGGAGTTAACAGAATTTGGACTGGATGTTATTGGATGCTCAGTTACAGGCATTTTCAGTGGAGTAAAATGCACATTAGAGGAGCTGATTGTCTTTTCCCACGAGATGCAGGAAATTAATCCAGTCTTGGTTGTATCAATACAACTCACGGAATTCAGAGCTACATTTTCCATACAACATTTTACTTTAATTGGCTGAGTGGCAAAACATGAAGTTTTTACGAAGTAGATTGAGATGGGGGAAGTAAATGAACTGAAATTATGCATATTAAATAAACATTAATAACCAGTGTTTCTTGCAGTGCCAATGGAATTTGTGCAATCATCAAAGAAAGAGTAGCTTTGGAAAAACTCTGCTAGTGCTACAATGTGAAACCCCATACTGGCCATAAAAGCAGCCCAGGGGAGTTGCTATAAAAGTATTTATGTCAGGAATTTGAACCTTTGGGGCCAGCATACTGTAGCGATTGCAGAATTTCAAAGCTTTGTACTACACAGAGCAAGATAAAATAGGGGTATATCCCCAAGGAATGAACAAAAGTACAGGAGCATCATATAAAATAAATGTGACAAGACCTTAGTGGATTTTAAACTTTATATTCATAGATTTTAAGGTCAGAAGGGACTGATATGGTTGTGTAGTATGACCTCCTACATAACATAGGCAACAGGATTTCCATGAATTAATTTCTGCTTCAGGTATGACAGCTGTGCAGCTGTGGTTGTTGAACTGAGGCAATAGTTTTCAACCTTTTTCAAGTTGTAGATCCCTAAATACTTGCTACAATAACTCCACTGAAAAGCACACTCAATTGTCTGATGTTAATTAACTAGTTGAGTTTTCAGCCGTCTTTGATGGACCTGTTGTTTATTGATTCCTGGGGATCTGTTAGAACAACAGTGAACTAGCTGGTGAAGGAAAAATAAAGGGCAGGGTCTTGACTTTTGTAAATGTTTATTTAATTAGCATTTCAGATGTTAAAAACAGTTATGCCTGCATGTGGGCTGTAAAATTAATTTTGTATTTAATCTATAGTTGAAAATAAATGCACAAAGCTGAACTCATAAACATATTTGCCCATTCAGACTGAAAACGGTGATCTTCCCTCAGGAGTATGGTAAAAAATTAGTGTCAGCACTTCACTAGCCATGCAAAATACATCTCAAAGCAGACAGAGTGTACTACAATCAGAAAACTCTGGAATGTGCTACAACACTTAAACTTTGAGCAGTGGTCAAAATGAAGCTTTTTGATTGCCAATAGGAACGTGCAGAAATAGGGTATGAAGGGAAACAAGTCATAGCTGCCACATTTTCTGTTCAGTGAACTCTCCAGAGTACGTACATCCTGTAGTCACAGGGCATCACTGAATGGAGCCAGGCTCTTGTCAGTGGTGCCCAGTGCCAGGACAGGAGGCAGCGGAGGCACAAACTGGAGCACAGGAGGTTCCCCTGAGCACCAGGAGCACTTCTGTGCTGTGCAGGTGGCTGAGCACTGGCACGGGCTGCCCAGAGGCTGCGGGGCCTCCTCTTGGGGCATCTCCTGAAAACCTGCCTGGACATGGGCCTGGGCACCCTGCTCTGGGTGGCCCTGCTGGGACCAGGTGGCTGCCAGAGGTCCCTTCCCACCTCGGCCATTCTGTGATTCGTGTGATCTCTGAAGTGCCAGTGCAGGATGTATATAGTCTATATACACTATATACACTATAGCTGTGAGGAAAGTACCAAGGAGTTAAGGGAACTTCCCTTTAATTTCATCTCTCCTATTTTTCATTCAAAGTTTGCCCTACTGCAGACTTAGTTACACTAAATGAGGAGTGTCTGCAGATGTTTCAAAGTGCAAAATATATATATTTTTAAAGAAGCCTCATAAATCCCTTTGCTAACAGACATACTATGTTAGGATTGTAATTGAGAAAAAAAGAAGAAAGGGACAATTCCACTCAAGATCCTTACAGCCATTGTTGTTTGATCACGTTGATCAAAGACTCTATTTGCAGTTACATTTTGTTATTTTGCCCATTGACTGCACTGAGTTTGTGCTAAGTTTTTATGACATACCAGACTTGCATTTGTATATGTAAAATCCAACAACAACACAGCATTCAGTTTCTCTGGATCAAAAAGATCAAGGGAAGAACTGTGATAGACGTCACAAACATTTCATAATGAAGTTCTTGGCTTCTCTCCCCCATTTCCCTGGCTATTCCTTTTTCATCACAAAACCTCTGTTAATAGGAGTCTTAGCAGTGCCTCTGTTAATAGAAGTCTTAACAGTGATGGAAGGAGAAGCATCCATGCTCCAGGCATGGCAGGGTGCCACAAATCAACTTTGTAAAAATACCTAACGAATTGTAGTGTCTACTGTAATCATGTATTAGCTGTTGACTTGGAATAATTTCTGTGACAATTATCTAGTTTCACCCTTTGTGTAAGTAACTGAACCTTGAAAGCATTTTCTGAACAGTGTAAAAGTGATTGTGTACTATTTCTATAAAGAAAAAAAGGAAAGACATTTTTCTTCAGAAGCCTTTGTATTGTTATTACCTATTAGCATTTCAGTTACACCTAGGCACTAAGAAGGTAGATTAAAGAGTTTATTGCAATACGCTCTGCAAGCAAATGGAAAAAGTACAACTGCTCCTGAAAAGTGTTTACAAGCTCAATCCAGGGGCTGGCTGTTACTCAGGGGCATTTAATCTTAACTCTGCTGTGCCTGTAAACTCCGCATTAACTGCTTTCAGTGAAGTGGCTTAGCACCTCCAAGTTTGAATACCACTTGTGAACTGCTTGTGAAATTGTATTTCCATCGACTAAACACTGTGAGCAAAGACAGAAGTCCCATTATGTCAAGACGTGCTCATAGACTTCACTGAACTTGACCGTGTGGTTTAATGTAGTGACAGAGTTTACTCGTAGACCCGATGAAGTCATTTATAGCTTTTCTTGACTTCCACAGAAGATGCTGGCTGTAACTTTGAAAACAAGAATTACAGATAACAGGTGTTACTTAAACTAGTGACTGAAGTACACAGAACTCAGCAGAGCCTTATCTTTTGTCTTTGTAAATCCCAGTGCATTGCACAGTACGTTTTACTGCTCTACGTTGTAGAAATAAGCTGGTGTCTTCAATACTTAATCTGTGTTTTAAAATCTTATTTAACAGAACTCTCCCAGTAATATGAGCATGAGTAATCAGCCTGGCACTCCCAGAGATGACGGTGAGATGGGTGGAAACTTCCTAAACCCTTTTCAGAGTGAGAGTGTAAGTATTTCTTTATAGAGTTGTTTTACTTTGGGAACCTTTGTCCCTGCTATTTCGTTAAAAAAAAAAAAAAGGTTTTGCAGTGTACTTGCAATGCCCGTGCCTTAGGTGGTTTTTCTTTTTGTTTTGTTTTGTTTTGTTTTGTTTTGTTTTTTTACTAGCTTCTAAAATTAGAGTATTAATTTACCAAATTTATTTGAAAAATACTACTAGAAGTTGAGCCAAAATGGGTAAATGTGGGAGGTGTAGATCTACTGCAGAAACTCTTTTTCTAGATAAAGAGGTGCATTGTCAATGAAAGTTAGATCTGTCAAGCAGTAATAATTATGGTCTATGTATTCAGTAATGCACAGTGGGCATTTGTCAGACGCTATCTGAGCAGCCAAAATACACAGAGTTGACAGATCTTTACATCTGAGTGTTTCAATTTGTGGTTACCCAACCTTTGACTCCTAAACAATGTGTATTGCACTGCAGGAATGTCTTTTAGGACAGGATTCACACTGAAGTGTATAATTAGAGCACCAGATCCCATATTCTAGAGAGGTAGAGAGAGATTTATTGGCACTATTAGAGACAGAAAAGGCAAAGGTGCCCTCTAGTGTTCATTCTGGGACAAATGATGTTCTTTAAAATGGAGTACGCTTGAGGCAGCAAAACATGGTGTGCAATAAATTACAAAGCAAGACCAGTATTTTCATACTCACGTGCCTGAAGCGGGGTTTCTAAATCCACATTTAGGTTCCTAAATAGAAGTGGCCTGATTTTTCAGAAGTGCTGAGTGACTTCAACACTTCTGTTCTTTTTGGAAATCACTGCTGCCAGAAGTGAGTGCAATAACTATGCCAGTGGTGAATTTTTGCTTAGAAACCATGAGTAAACAGTTCCTCCTAGATCACAAAAAGCCAAATTGCACGGCAAGTTAAATAAGAATCAGATTTTTGGTGGTTTTTATTTATTTATTATTATTATTATTATTATTATTATTATTATTAGTTTGTTTGTCTGTTTTTTGGTTAGTTGGTTTTGGTTTATTTCTTTAACTAGTGAAAAAGAAAAGGGAGCAGTTTCTGCATGTTAGCTGTTTTTGTAAAGAAGGCACATGGTCAGATTGTTTGGAGTATTGGAGAAAATTGGTTTGTACCACCTAAAGCGATTGATGTTTCAAAATCTGCCAAAAAGGCACTAACCACAAAACATCCATTAAATGTGATCCTTGGTCATGGTAATCCTTGACACTCAATTTGGCATGCTTTGCTTGTACTGAGGGCAGACAGCCTGATTCAGCAGGCAGGCCAGTTAAGCAAACTAAAGGCAGGAAAGAAGGACTTTAGCTGTACTCAAAAGAAAATCAGTTTTCTCAGATACTTATTGGATTCTAGGTGCACCTAGTTGTCATTTTCCTACCTGAATGAATCTGGGACCTAGTTTTCTCAAGGTTTTGCTATGCCTTCTGTGTACTTCTAGAGTAGGTGTGTTATTATGAACTCCTTTCTCAGGCAAATTTGCTGTTCATCGGGAGCTTTGCTTGGGAATGGGGAAAAGATTTTGGCTAATAATAAGCTAAATATGACAAATAAACACTGTTTTGTCTTCAGATTCCTTATCCAAAGTGATTACCCAGTTACATTGACTGTAATACAGAAAATCATTTGAATACAGACTTTACGTAAAGCATTTGAGTTGGTCTTACTCATTGGCTTAAGATAAGCATTTTCTTGCTATCTTTGCTGGCCTACTGTGAGAGTGCACAGCACAGGGTGGCAGTGAGCCCTAAAGCAGAAAAAAACATCAAAGACATGACATGGGACAAAATAGGTTGTACCCACACAGTCCATTCTATCCAGTTTTCATGACAGAGAAGACCTACACAAAATGGTTTTTTTAGTATTCTTGGACACTTGGAAATGGCCAGCTCAAAGCTCTAGCTCGGGCAGTTTTTTTATTAGGTAACTGTTTTTGCGAAGGCAAATTAATCTCTCAATTTCTTGTGTCAGTTTTCATTACACTAATACTTCTTGCACTTGAACATTTTCATCACCTTAGAAGATTTTAGGTTGTGTTTCTGCAAGTTTTCACTTTAAACAAAATTTAAGCACATGCACTTCTTGTAGGCCTCATGCTGTCCCGTTGATTATTTGTAATGAAGTACTGCTAACTTGAGGGCACCTATAGCTTGTATAAGGGCTGCAGTTCAATTTGTTTCACAATAAGGTGAAGTGGTGACTGAGTTTTAGGTTCTCTTGAAGGAGAATGACCACTGATTCAGCTTCCCTTCTGAAATCAATAGTACTGAATAACAGATACCAAAAGAATAGCTGGATTCCAGTCAGACATATCTGTACACTCTTCTTCCCACCCAGCAATAAAAAATCTCTCCAAAACATTTATCTAATTCACCTCACCACAAATGCAGCTGGTCTACTTGAGGCTAGCTATCTGCCTAGCTAAAGCCCCCCAGTTTCCAACACCGATCAGGAGAAGGTCTGGAAAACATTAGTGTAATACTGGCTCATCACATCACCCAGATAACACTGAAACAGTCTTTGGGTGATTTGACTTGGTCAGCAAGAGCTGTATTTTTATGTAATGAGAGAAGGTTAACAGAATTTGTGATACCACAAATTGGACTACAGCCTTAGCACAGGCTATAGTACAAATTTAGGAGAAAATTCAAAGAGCGGGTTGGCATTTGAACTCATTGCTCTGGTCCAGTAGTGGTTTTAGTTATCTGGAGAAAAAAAAAAATATGTTAAAATGTGGATTCCTCTTTTTTCAGTACTCCCCTAGCATGACAATGAGTGTGTGATCCGTTAACAAGTCTCGTCATGAAGACCACAGTGAGTTGGCCCTCTTCAGAGAGTTACTGCAGAAGAAAATTATTCGTCCCAGTGTACAGTTTAACAAAAGGATCTCAAACACAATCAGACCCACATTTTTTTTTCCTGCCATCTCCCCTGTTTTGTCAAGAAAGTGGGTCCCAAACATGATTGAGATAACCATAAAGAGTGGCAAAACAGATCTGCCCAAGATGGAACTGCAATTACCTGTGTATGTACATGCGTGGGTTAATGTATGTATGTGTGTGTGACGCAGAAATACACACATACATATATAGACCTGCAGGACATTGTAAAACATTATCACATGACATCTTAAGTAGAAATGAGAAGTAGGAACTTCTATTCCATCTTTTTTTTTTTTTTCACGTTTACATTCTAATTTTTAAACTTTGCTTTCCCTCTCCCCTCCTGAATTGTTTTATGTTGCATATATCACTGCTCTATAAGTTATTTTTTAAAGTGAACTCAAATGATAAATTCTTCTGATTTTGTAAATGTCTGCCATTATGGATAGGAATAAAACTGCTTATAAGAGCTTTCATTAACTTGTGTTTGATACCAGTTACCCTGTGAATCATAAACTGTACTGTCTCAAGAAATAGAAGAAAGCTCATCTTAATTTTTTTGGAGAAATTTAATAATTTTCACCTAGTTTGGTGATTTTTTTTTATACTTTGCCTTTAAAAAAAAGAAGCACTGAAGGTTATATTTCTTCTTTAATGGAAGCCTAATATCTGCAATATCTATTTTAAATGGAAGCCTGAATTTGATACAAGCTTCTCAGTTTATATAGAGTACTATAAGGTTACTGTATGCGAGCTCCAATTGCTATAGAATCTAGCAATAAAGTGTCAGGGCTTCTGCCCTTGGAAATGAATTTTCTATTTAGCATGATCTTCCGTAGGGGTGGTAGCTAGAGGAAATACAGTGGAGTCCTTATTACCAAAACCTGTTCTAACAATTTATGTTTACGTTTCCCCTTTTCAGTAATTCTCAACTAAATCCTAACAATCCGTGGTCCTGATGACGAACAGTATCTCCCAAGCCTATTCAGAACATCAGATCACACTGGTACACGAATTTACCCCCCAAACCTTTCAGTAAGCAGTCAGTTTTGTGAACCAAAATGAGGGAGTAAACTTTTTATGACTACTATGCCTTGTGAGGGTCTTACCTTTCACCATGAACAGAAGAGGCAAAAACATCTAGGCCATTTTATAAGATCAGTGTATTAGACATGAAAGCTGGGGGCAGAATGGAGAAAAGGCATATGGTCTTTAAGGAAGAGCGTCTGGAAATGGTCCCAAGTCTCCAGGCAAAGCTCTAAAACCAAGATTACTGTAAATATAGTTCCTAGTGACTTCCAGTTCCCCCATGAGAATGAAAGCTTTCAGTTGTGTACTGGTCAAAATGCTGATCAGAAACAAGGGCTGCTCTACAACTGATGCCATAGACGAAAGCAAAGTCCCCACCTTGGACTTTGCCTATAGAAGAGCCACTTATATAGAAAGAGCAGTTCTGAACAGAGTATGTCCATGCAGACTTTTAAGGGGATATTTTTCATGAATTTGTGCTGAACAAGTGTATGTAGAGAGCTCATTGTGATGGTAGATGCACATAACTGGATGCATAAGTAGTACCAGAATCTCTGAACTCATTTTTATTTTTATATATGTAATTTATATATATATGAAAATAAAATCATTTAACACTTTTTACTCTCTTGTTAGTGCTGTTCAAAGGTGAAACTCTTGGAGGCTTAAAATTATGTTAAAATATCAAAAATTTTGGGAGCATTGCTATATAGTAATAATATCATGAGCTAGAGAGTCATTATATGGTTTTGTAGACTTTATTCCCAGGATTATGGAGATTTAATTCATTTGCTTATCTTTGGAAAACATTTTGTTGCTGTCTCAAAATATGCCAGGAGCCCCTACCATTAATTTGAATTATAAAAACATAAAATGAGATCTAATTTCCTGAGATCCTTCATGGTTGTCACTAATATCACTGGTTTCCGTGGTTATGTGCCCAGTGCAGCCCAGCTTGTCCCATAAATAGTGCAAAGTCCAGGCATCCTTGCAGCCTTCATCTGACATCTGTATTATCCTTGTTGGTAGCCTCTAAGGAGTATTCTAGGACTGTTTTCTGCCCAGTTTCAGTCACACGATGTCACTGCTCCTCGACTAAGGTAGATGGATATGTCTGGACATCCAGTGCCAAAGCCATTCGTGCACAAGGTAAGTGTGCCCTTGAGTGAGCTCACGACCAGCAGGGTACATCTGGGCCCTGCTGGGTGCCTCGAGGGGAGCCCCTGGGGCTCCTGCATGCAAGCAGTGTGTCCAGTGGGCACCAAGAGCTGGCCTGGACAGCGTCATTGACATTGCAAGACTGGAGCATCCCAATGTGGCAAAATTAAGCAGAATTAAGGCTTAATATTAATCAGACATTCAATTTATTTTTTTTTCCTAAATTTGGCATTAGCTTCAATAGTTTAGTGTACAGGCATCTGTTGAAAATAAGTCTGACCATGAAATTAAACCTATGCATAAAGCAGTACCCTTTAAAGGGAACTGCCAGCACATTGAATATTATTATCAACATACGATATCCCAATTTATCCTAATCTTATATATAAGATATATATCCTTTCGGGCACATATTTTTTTCTTATGCAGTTCTTTTGAATTCTATGCAATTTTTCTTTTTGCCAGCATATCATTGTTTACCCTTTTAATTTCTTTCCCAAACAGTTATATTAAATTAAACCTTGTTGCATTGATCCTGCAGCATTAATATCAGCAAATACATTGCTGGTCTCAAAAGGAACAGGATTAGTCCCTGCTTCTTGTAGCCTGTAACTCCATGCCCTGATATTGCAAGTTACAAAGTATGTCCAGCACTTTTTATGCCTACAGAGCCCCACAGATTAGTGGGATAACAAACGTGCAAGCTTGCAAAATTTCAGATTTGGGAGATCTGATTTAATATTCACAACACATCTTATTTTTAGAATTTTAATCAGATATAAAGAAACCTAATCATCTTGCTTTTTGTAGGGAACTCTTGCATTCCTATGCTTGCATGCATGGGGAAAGTTATTTACGTGCAAATTGATAAAATCAGGTGATTATGACCATGCATAGGTTCTGGAACTGAACCATTAGAAAACAATTGTACATGCTAAATGGTCAACTTATAAATTACAAATATCCCATTCTTCTTAAAATTTTCATAGAGCTTTTTGCTTGTGCATTTGTTTTCTCTCTTTTGCTTATAAATCCTTGCAGGATTTCATCATAAACAGGAGTATTAATATGGAAAGAAAGATTATTTCCAAGCACTGATTTTATATTTCCACTTATGTTTCTAATGCACTAGATATCAATGTGTAATGTAACTGCTGTTTATATCTATCTTTATGCAACAGCATTATTGATAATGGCAGAACCTGTCCAGCTCTGGGAGGAATGTTACAGTAAGTGGTGCCAGCTAGTTTTCCTACACCCTCTTTTTATAGAGATTTCTCACTTTCATATAGAAATAAATAGATCATGATTCTGCCGATGTGTCTTTCAGGCAAAGTTAAAGGAAGGCTTTTTTAAAAACAAGTGATGAAATCTTAGAATAGCAGAAACAGGGGGATAATGGGTCTCTCTAAACCATCAGAACTCTGGCAAAAATTGTGGCCTTGGCAGATGAAGTTGGGATTCACTTGTGCATTTCACAGTGAAGTTGGTATTTTAGCTGGTATCTCTCACCCATGAGAAAGGAGCATTCGTACACAGTTTTTGTCTCCATGTCTAAGTCTTGCACAGACAAGAATGGGGTTTAGGACGAGGAAGAAGCTGTATGAATCACTGCTAAAGCATGTGGCCTGACGTGCATTAAAGAAATACCTGGTACTTGCATGTATGGACTGCATTATTTTCTTAATTGTCTGAGCATGAGGAAGAAGTGCAGCTGCACTCAATGCTTGCTGAGTTGGTGCATGCAAAAGACATGGCAACGACAGTGAGCCATGTCTTTGATGTGCTGTGGGCTGCCCAAATATGCCCCAGCTTGCCTTGGGGTGACTGGCATCAACAAGTGACAGCCAAGTCCCCCTGGGAGTCCCCAGACACCAGACCTGCATGTCACCTTGTCAGGGAGAATACCAACCTCCAGACTTAACAGCCTGCTCCACTCCTGAATTCCCAAAGCATGAGGTTAAATGTCCCGTGTCCCACCACCAGTCCTCTGGAAACATCTGGCCCGCACTCTCCTTTTAAAATGCAAGGAGAGAGATGTAGGCTAATCATTTATCTTAAATAATTCAACTTGGGAAGAAGTGAATAGAGCCTAGCTTCTTTATGGAGAGCAATTCGGAATCACTGCATAAGGGCTGCTTCATGAACTGGCCAAAAATCATTTGAATTTTCCCCTGTTCTGTGGTTAGCAAATGAAATACTACATGTAAAGAGGATTTGGAATTAGATGGGTAATTTAATGAGGGACCAGCTGTTACAATATTCAGTGTTGAACATTTTACTTTCCTAGTTGAAATGAATTTTCAGCTGATAAATGTTGCACTGATTTCTACTTCTCAAATCAGTTAAATATTTTTGACTTTTATCTCCTGTTCTAGTGAGCTCTGATCCTTTGTTGTTGTTGCTAAATACGGACTGAATTCTTCAGGATTTGACTGTATACATTTCCATTTGGAGAATGTAAAATAGAGTTTAACAATACATCTATATACATTTAAAAGGACAGGTAAATTAATTTTTTTTTAATTCACTTTTAGTGATGATCTAATACAGCTTCTGTCCCAAATGTGCTTGGGTTTGGTTGTGCCCTCAGGATGGGAACCCTGGTTAAGCATATCTGTTACGTAAAAACCCCCAAACCTCTTTCAACAGTGACAGCTCATTTCTATTCAAACTGATCATGCTATGGAACTAATTCAGGATGTTACGATACGCAACAACAATAAAAATTCAGTACGCTCAAATATAAATGAGTTAGATTTAAATTTTATTTTGTGCAGCTTCCTTTACTTTCCAGACATTATTGGCTCTGTGCTACAAGCTGCTGTTCATGCCAGTTGTTCTACTGAAACTTTGATGAAACCACTCACATAATGTCATTTTTCTTGTAGGATTTCACCCTAGTCTGTGTGAAATTTGTCTGAGATGTGACGTTATTTTGCAGATCTATAAACTATGGAGAAAAATAAAAAGGATCTGCTGAAATTACCAAAATGTTGTTTCAACACAAAGCACAGAGGGAAAAGTCCATATCTAAATTACTGATGTGAGTGCATGCATAGAAGTTGTCTGCCAGAGCTGTCATCTTGAAAACAAATTACAGTAACAAATTTAGAGAAGATAAGCAGACTGTCTACTCAGCAGTTAAAATTCTGATCCTGCAAACACATTCACATTGGTTTGAAATAAAGCCTACACATGCTTAATTTTAAGCAGATTTAACAATACAAGTAATATCCTTCAGAAGAGTGGGACTGCTAATATGCTAAAACCATGCTTGAGTGTGGACAGTCTAGAAGCTCAAATTAAGTCTTCCCTGAGCAAACATTTTATCTTATTTTATGGATTTTACCAGTGCAGGAACATGTTTGTGTACTGATAGTACTGATATGTGGAACAGATTTGGCTTTCTTCTGTTTCTTATTTTATTACAGCATTGTTCACTACTAAATATTAAATATTTTTGTGAACTTGTCCTTTCATTTTGTTTTCAGTTGTGCAGCCATAATTTCCCTCAATATACAGCTAACAGCTTTGCAATTTTAGTCCAAACATCTGTTTGGTCACTGTTTTTCATCTAAGCTTAAAATATGTAAGAAAACCTCTTATGTAATGGGAAAACTTGCCATAAAAATAAAAAGGGTTTTCTTGGGTACTTGTTTTCACATTTAATTAAAAAAAAAAAAAAAAAAGTTTTTCAGTTGTAATTTGAAATGGTCACTTTCTAGCCACTATTTAATATCTCTGTGCAAAAGAAATTGAGAAAAATTGCCCCTTCTTCTTCTTCTTTTTTTTTTTTTTTTAATCCATTTGAATTCATCATAAGTAATAGTTGAAGGGCATGATTTTGGGGAAATCAGATAAAAACAAGATTTACTACCTACCTGCTATGAATAATACAGCTGGCCTTTGTGTTGAAAGCTCCTTCCATGTCCCCAAAAGTGGATTGCCTAACATTTGATACATACAGCTTAGTAACAGCCTGATACCCAAAGAGTTGCCCCACTCATATCTTCCGTGCTCAGCATCCCATGGGTGGCCCAGTGGCCCCCTTGACCGGTCGGGATGCTTGGGGTTGGCATTTTGGAGAAGAGCAACCGAGCGGGCAGACAAGCAGGCTTGTGCAGGGTCTGGACAGCACATGGTGTTGGTGTGCAACCTGCTGCAGATCGTCTGGCAGGTAGGCCCGGGGCTCCCTTAGGATTTTAGTACTGGAACAAGAGTCTTGGTTTTCCTAAGAGAGAATACTGGCAGCTTAGCACCAGTTTTTGGAAGGAAATGGTACAGAACTGGTTTTGTTTGCTAGATGGCACATTTCCTCAGCAGCTTGGGCGTACTAGGAACCAAGACAATAGGATTTGGAAGTCCAGTTTGTTACAGAGATACGCACAGCTCATCAGAGTAGGAGGGAATTACTACATGGCCAAACCCACGTTTGTCCCTGTAGGGCGAGACCATTGGTAGTCCCTTTCGATGCAAAGATTACCACAGTTCTTTGCATCGAAAGCCACGAGGAGCTAAATCATCCACTGGATGAGCGGGATATTTGTAGGCTTTATTTCTGTTGTTTAATCTTCGCGTTTTCTCCCCTCTCATTTGGATTTTTCCATTAAATGTACCATGCCAGATGTTTGCACAAAAACAAGAACAATTTGCCCAATAAACATACAGGAAGTTGCTCGCATCTGTAACAAGAGTCCTACTATAGAGCATTTATTTCATTATAGACATTGTGGCTGCGCAAGATCCTGAGAGCTCTTAGCACTAGACATTAGGAAAGTTAACATCTCACAGGCTTATTATGCATTAGACAAGATGATTTCCAGCAATGACATAAAATAGCTTGAAACAGAAGTTGATGTTTGCCATGCAGAGTAGAGGAAAATAAAATCCAAATAGAGCCTATGTAATTGAAGTAGGAGATTACTAAGGCTATAATTTACTAGGAGGATCTGAAAAGTGTGTTAACTGGCAATAAGCTTGCCAGCAGCAAACAGCAACAAAACGGGTGGCGAGGACGCCGTGGTTGCTCTCATGGCTGCCCTGCAGGATGGATGGATGCTTGGTCTGAACAGGCTGCAGGCAAGGGACTCATGTTATGGGTGGCACAGTGCGAGTGCCCTTCCAGTGGGTGGCAAAGGCCATCCAAACAGAGAACATCCAACAGCTTAGCAGGAAAGATGAGAGGCGTTTGCCACATTGCCATCTGAAAACAAGATATTCAGAAGCTGGTATAAGCTGTTCCCAGATCTATTCTCATTTTGCTAATTAACTTCCAGTTTTGTTTTCATTTACATTCACATTAAGAGTTAAGGAAGAGAATACAAATTCCTAAATGAGCCCTGAAATACCAGAGATGGAAGGGTGGCATCAGCACAGTGTAAGCTGGAGCTTTCTGCTAGTTGAGAATCAAGTAACTTTAAATATTAGCATATTTTCAGGACAAAAAATAACCCATATAAGAAAGCATTTTGGTCTTGCAGTGGTTGTTTGAGAAGTGTATACCAACATGCCCTGTATGCTTAAAGATAAATTGTGAGGGCATTTTTTGTGGCAAGTATCCCCTTGCAGAAATGTCGGACTACATCTATTTTGTGCATGTTTGCCTAAAACCACAAAAACAGAACAGTTATTTATGGGTTGCATTACATGCAATTGGAAAACATTTATTTCTGGTGAAGAGAGGAGGAAAATTGGGTAGCTGATGTGTTAACATGTTTATGTGAATTACTTAAAGCATTGGTAAACTGCTGTCAACTTTGTTCACATTACACACGTACTCTGTGTGGGCGACTGCTGACATTATAACCCCAGTGACCCATGCATAGTCTGTAAATTCCTGTAGGTTCTGTGTAGGAAACCTTGTCACCATTGCTCAATGCTGTAAATTCGTGTTCTGAAACAAGAAGGTGGCGGGGTTGTGCAGCCGTGTGTATTGTATACCACAACAAACAGCACCTGTTCTGTCATCAAAACTTGCTGTTCACGTCCAGTTAAAGCTCTGTTAAGCACGCTTAGTGGTTTCAGAACATAATTCAAGCAGCAGATACACAAGTTGTTAGCAGGAATATTAAATATAATGCGTGATGAGAGAACCAGGCCCAGTCTGTAGCCTGTCAGGCGCAAGTAGGCCACGGGTGGCTGCAGCTGGGCACGTCTCGTGAGCCCGAGCAGGCCGCGGGCTGTGCTTGCAAGCTGCAGACAGGGATGTCATGCCCAGCAGGCAGGGACAGCCTAGCTTTTCCTCCAGTGTCTCTTCTTAAAGCTTCTGCTTTGGTGCCAGGACAGAAACCCAGCCCCAGCACGTGCAGCGATCAGGAAGCGCGCTCTCTGCTCTGTGTCCTTGTCCCCAGATGCCACAGGCTTTACGTGAGGCAGTGTTTTAAGGAGAATTTAATTCTTTGTTTACTGAGAAAGAAAAATAACCCAACTCTGAATTCTTTTCTATTGGTATTTTATGATGCACATCAAAGGCCTGAAAATATGTATGTGTTCTTTGCTGGTTCCTGACATCAGAAATTCAAATCCTGTCTAGACGGAAGGGCTTTGAGATGATGGGAAAAAGAATGAAAAACTGGCAACACAACCTGAGAAAGTTGAAGGGGATTTTTGGATCATTTCAAACTCTGTCTTAGTGGGTTTTATTGATAGTTTAAATAACTTGTCTAACCTTTTGAATAAAGGCAGTCTTTGTTAGTGACTTTGCACCTTAACCCATTCACATAAAGTTGAGTACTTGAAATGAGTGTTGCTAGCACATCCAAGCCAACCTGTTTATAAAGTCTGAATATTTCTAATGCCAAAAATAAATGTTTAAGGTGAATAAATAGAGAACAGGACATAATCCCGATTAAAGAGGAGTATTTTCTGGTCACGTACAAACAACTAGGCAGGTGTGTTTTAGACAGAGATGGACTTTCCATATCGTAAGTGAAACTAATATTCCAACTCCAGTCTTTAGAAGTAAAAGGAACCTCAGAAATTTTCCAAATAAACAGGAATTAAATTTTCCAATCTAAATACTGATATAGAAAATACATATAAAACAGGATGCTGCCCCTGACCTAAAACATTAATACTGATAGTATTTGGGGTCTCACAAATTCTGTATATTTCAACATATCTGTATTCCTCCTTAAGCAAGTGCTTCATCTCCATTATTGATAGTGCAAAGAGCTAATCCATGCCATACCAGAACAGTTCAAAAGCATAGCAACACAAAATTCCCGCAGTATTATAAATATACAGATGTGTGTGTTATGTTAGGGCAAGTAATCACCCCAGCCACAAACTTCTTTAGTCCCTTTGCGTGACTTTCAAAAGCATCTTCTTGGATCGTTTCAGAAGGGCAGCAGGCTGTGCTGATGAGAGGTCCAAAAAGCTGCCTGACAATGGTCCCTTTCCAAAGGGTACAGGGTCTTGCATTGAGGGGTCATAACAATTCCAGTTGCAGCCCTTAGGAGCAGTTGTACCATGCGTACATCTTAACCTGAAGCCTTTTTGGTGTCAGAAAACCGACCTGCACCTGAAGGCCTCCCTTCTTTAAAAATCCTTTTTGAAATGTCCAGCTGTTTTCCACAGCTGTTAAGCTGCTGAGAGGTTTGGTGGGATTAGTTCTGTTGTACCAAGATAAAACTCTGTGTGCCCTTGTATACACAGAAAGCCTCCCCCCCAGGGAGGTGCCGCTGAGAGCCAGTCTAGCACCCAGAATCTCTGGTGTCTGGAGAAGCCTCCATGTCTAAGGACCAAACACAGAAACAAGGTGATAAAATCAAGCTTCTTTGTTTTATCTTAAAAAAGTTCCTGGCAAGACTGGGGAGCTGCAAAGAAATGGATTGTATGGGTCTGTGACCACAAAGCATTATCTGGGTTGGAGCCTCAGACAGTGCTATTGCAGACTGTTGGGTAAGCGTAAATTTATACCTCTATACCATGCTTGTTTCTGTTCCACACTGGCCTGATTCATCCTACCCTCACTTCAGCTGCTTAAAAATTATCAGCCTCAGCAAATTGGGTTTCCTCTCAAAGTTACAGGAGGGGCAGAAGCAGAGATGCCTTCAGAAGATTGTACGATGGCATCCATCACCTTCTCCATTGATATCTCCTGCATGCTTTTAAGAGCATACCATTAGGTGGAATGATTTCAGGGTTTTTATACTTTGCTTCCCGTCCTTGGACAAGGCTCAAATGAGCAGGAATAACAAGCTCCTGAGAATCTGAATCCATGTGGCTTCCAGATGAGTTTCTAAATCCTTCAGTCTCAAACATGAGATTTTTGCCCTATAGTTTGGTATTCTCTCCTTCTGTACTTCTTTTTTTTTTTTTTTTAAATATAAACAGGTGTAACTTGAATTAAGTTGTTTGAACATTTCTGGAAGTTTTACCCCTGCCTAGAGATTCTAGCCTTTATTTGTTAAATGGGCTCTCTCATTCTTTGTCTGCACTGATTCATTCATTTAAAGCAACATATGAAGAAACCATTGCATAGATGAATCAACACCAGCAATAGCATATGCTGCTTTTAAATTCAGCTGTGAGGTTGTAACTAAGATATTAATGTATATACTTTCTAGGAATGACTAGGTTCCTTTCCTAAGAGCTTTCAGGAATGAATCTAGAAGCTCCTAATTTAGGATTGTGAAAATTCAGGTAGTAATGGCAGTTTATGGGGATTTTTTGTAAGCTTTCTGTAAATGTATATAATTTCACATGCTGGTTTGGAGATAAGGAAAGTACCCAGTTTCAGATAGGCCAGGTCTTTGAAGACAGCGTTACTGTCTGGGTTAGCAAAGCCCATCTAGGTTCCACCTCAGGCTCATACCATACACCTACTTTATTCTCACCCAACTCAGTATCTTTCTTCATTAACCATGCATACCAAATCATAACAATTGTACCAATTCTTGTTGCAAGCTGAGGAAGAGCTGAGGTTTAAAAATACAAATGTTGAGCTTGGCACCTTTTCACCTTCATGAAGTGTCCACATTCTCTCCGCTGGGCCTCCAAAGAGTGGCTCGCTCCAAAGTTGCCGTATAAATTCATCACACAAAAGTAGGTGAAATTTATTTTTTATATTTTAATGAGTCTAACAGCAGCGGTATTAGTATGTTTGCTATATTTTCTGAGTTGTGAGTCATTCAGTGTTGAAAATGATATGCATCTTGTGTAGCTATGAGTAGAAAATTTGAGAAATGCTTTTTATGATATGCTAGTACAATCCCTGCTCTGCTGTTCAATATTTTAAGTGCTGAACTAAACCAAAATATTATTTTCAAGAATTACCCTAGCCTCATCCCTGCATGAAAATGGATGTGAATTTCCCGTTACTGCTTCTGGGTCTTCAGTGATTTCTGGACCAAGAGTAAAGCAGTGGCAGCGGGAAAGGTTACTGTGGTAGCCACTTACGGACAACTTTTCAGATGCATACCATTCTGTCTGTCGCCTGATAATATTCCAATTTTCCCGTGGATCACCATATTCTTGAACATCTTGATGGGTTTTGTCAGCCATGGAGGAGATGTGGACAAGCTTAGCACCCAGAAAGTGTAGAAATGTAGCAAGTGATGAGCTATCTTCTCCAGCAAGCATTTATTTTTAGTGCTTAACTTTCAAGTAACGTTTATATTTTCAGTTATATTTTATCATTCAGTATCTTGAGGTGGTTTGAGCAAAAATATATGAATATATATAATTTACAAGAAATATAGGCTTGTATTGTGCCTTTGTAATTCTCTTCAGCTTCAGTATCTATAAGCTATGAGCGGACAAACCTTTGGGGTATTCTTTACTACATAGTAGCTGATGGCTTCATTAATACTGGCTATTTGAGTCTTCTGGGTCTAATGTTTATGTTTTCCCAGGTGAAAACGCCATAGTGTTCTCCACCAGACATAAGCACAATGACATATCACTGCAATGCATGCCGTCTCTTAGCTTCTCTCTACATGTGCTTGCATGTTGAAAATTTAGAAATGCTGCTGTATAAATTGCTACCTTGTTTATCCAATACAGGTGTTTTTCTGCATCCCTTGTTTGCTTGAAACTCCCATTAACTCGAAAGTTATCATTGGCTTGAAAGGGAGTTGTGGATGCACAAAGGATGCAGGGAGCAACTCTTCGGTAGTTTACAGGCTGCTGTACATTAATGTCTTCTCAGCAAAGAAATGTAGCATTAGCAGTGACTTCCTAGTGAAAACACTGAGCGTGCTTATCACTTAAGATTTTAGGAAAAAGCGTCAGACTGTGTAATTGTATCTCATCTAACTTTGACACCTAACCAGTAACATTTGATGAGGTATGAGCCTCACTTTTAACTACGTTTGATCATGATGTACCAACCAATGCAGAACTGAAAGGTGAACAGCCATGTTTTAATATCACAGCTACACAAGAAATCACAGTTTTCACGAGGTTCTGTTCTGATTTTTGTTTCCTTATCTCTAAAGCATTTTCACCGCAGAAGTATTTTTCCATACAGTTACCTGAGGCTTCCTTTCACCAACCAAAACAGTCCGTAGCCTTCTACACTGTGAAAGGCAAGCTCTGTGGAGAAACATGGGCTTTGCGCTTGCCCAGCAAATTAGCAGAAAATTTCATCCAAGCCATAAAAGCCTTTTATGTTATTCTGTGTTTGTGTAATCAAAGCAATTAGGGATAGGAGCTTCAGGAATAAAGAGGTCTCTCTATCCTCCGTTTTACTCTCTCTCTGTAATTCGTAGGGATTTAAGAGTTATTTTCTCAAGGCTCAGCTGTGCCTCTCTAAACCAGCACAGTCTACGCATCATGTGAGATTCAATTTATGGGGATAACATTTGAACACGTAAGATTTACTTTTCATAGCAAGGAGTAATGTATGTCCTTTTGGACATGGACACTTGCAAACAAGTCTGATACCAAGAATAAAAATTCAAGATGGTACCAGTACATCAGACTCTGTACTACAGTGGGTTTTTTAGCTTTTGTCATTTGTATTTTATTTTGCAGGAGAGGAGCTGGGGAATCTCAGATCACATGGGGGATTTTAGAAGTATATCACTCAACAATCATTTTATAAAGTCTAACTTCAAAATGCACTATGATTTATTACAAAAATATATTTTCTTCTGTTTGCCGACATGGTTGTTCCATTTTGTGATAAGTTAAACTAAGCAGTTAATTTGTTGCACTGCCTAGCTGCATGAATTCATCCAGTGTACGTATGTACCTGTGCAGCATTACTTTGGGTTTTGTATTTGAATTTGCAGTATTGATTATTATTTTTGTATTTTACTTTGCCTCTGTTATTGGAATTGTAGTAAACATAATTTATACATATGATTTTACAACTGTTTTGCAACTGAAAAGTCTTCTTTAAATTGTAAAGTTTTATTGATGGATACTCATTAAAATGGTATAAGAATTATATTAACAATTGTTTTGTGTTTTGATGCTCTCTGTACATAAATATATGTCTATTTATCTGTTTAATGGTGCTTGTGTCTTGCAATTTTGGATACATTTTAGAATAAAGTTTCATTTTACAAGAAGTAGTTGTATTTTCAAAAGCTGTGTCAAAATAAAAACAACACACAACTTTTTTTCTCCAAGAATAACTAGGGTTATGAGAGAAACATATGACTCTCCAAAACATTTGTAACTTCAGGGAGTGATATATTTATTTCAAGAAAATAGAAACATATAAAGATGCATAGCTACATATTCTGGTCGATATACTGAAGTAACTGACATCTGTATTTAAAACGTTACCCAAAAGAGCCGCTCTGGAGGCACGTCCCACATCTGTTGACTCCACTGGTAAGAAAAGATTTGTGAACATGATGTCACGATTATCACATTAGTCTGTAGTTTCTCAAAGGACCCTGAAGCTCTCTGGTCTTGCATGCATCTGTTTAAACAGTGACAGAATTTTGGGAGACAACTAACAAGCAGTTATAGATTATGGGCTTCTGAGAAATTTTGGTTCTAAATCAGACTTCCCTTACTACCCCCTTGCTCTGTAACGATTCTCAGAATAAGGTTGTTGTGGTTTAACCAGCAGGCACCACACAGCTGCTTGCTCACCTCCACCTCCCAGTGGAATGGGGGAGAGAACTGGGAGGGAAAAAAAAGTTAAGGCTCATGGATTGAGATAAAGACAGTTTAAAGGGACACAAAAAGAAGAGAAATAATGATTAAGATGATGATAACAACAAAAATAATAACAGTAATAACAGTAATAACAACTGTAATAACAGTAGTAATAATAATAATTAGTAATAATGGGACGTAGAAAGCAAGTGACGCACAATGCAATTGCTCACCACCCACTGACTGATGCCCATCCCGTCTCCAGGCAGTGAGCGATCCCCCCACCCTGGCCAGCTACCCCATATTCATTGCTCAGCCTGACTCCACATGGTACAGGACATCCCTTTGGCCAGCTGGGGTCAGCTGCCCTGGTTCTCTCCCCTCCCAGATCCTTCTGCACCCTCAGCCTCCTGGCTGGCAGGGCAGTGTGAGAAGCTGAAATGTTTTTGGCTCCGTGTAAGACAACTAAACATCAGTTTGTTATCAGCATTATTCTCATCCTAAACCCAAAACACAGCACCATACCAGCTTCCAGGAGGAAAATTAACTCTGTCCTAGCTGAAACCAGGATGAAGGTCTAGCTTGGCTGAAGGTCAAGTCTGGTACAGCTACATCACTTGAACTGGCTGCTAGCTGCCTATATACCGTGTGATTGAGCAGTACTTCTTGCTACATAAAATGGCTATATTTTTCAGAAGATTTATGCACATCTAATACTGAACTCATCTTTTAATAATAAGGTGCCTTACCCCTTCTGGCACAATTCCTCTACAGGTACTGTTCTGTGTCCTGTTCACCACATCACTCGTGAGATGTGCTATTGCGCTGCACAAAGCCTTCAAAATTATGTTGCTTCAATTACAAGTATATGTTAATAGGAAAGGATAATCCTTTCTCCTTTGTAAAAGCATTTAAAACAGTACTGCACCTGTTCCTCTTGGTTTTACTATTTCAGTTTAGCACAAGAAGTCTCAAGCCATTAAGTGAGAATCATTTATTGACAAACACTTTAAAAAACGACATTAGCAAGCAACTTCTGAAGGAAAGCAAATTTTTTAGTCAGCTAACCAAACCTTTCAAGTTGAGCTCACTCTAAGTCACTGCCATTTCTCGATTAAAATGAGCAATTTCACCAAAGGCAGTGACGTGTGGGTTTGGATGTATGGCATCTTCTATCTGTCTTTAACCACTTGTTCCTCTTACCACCACGGGCATCAGTAAAGAGAAATCTGACAGTTTACAAAGATCCCTCCCAGAGTCTGCCTTAAGGTAGTGTTGGTCTGACCAACTTTTTCCAGCAGTGACCACCAGACCACATAAGGCACTTTTCTACTGGGAAACTTTATCTGCCACACCGATCTCCTCTGTGAACTTGGGCCAGTAACTTAATTTCTCTAATTTTTCAGCTGTGAAAAGAGAACGATACTGGCCTTTCGGATGTTTTATGAGGACAAATACACAAGACTGCAAAACACTCGATTACTCCAATGGAGACCATGTAAGAAGCTAAAGGAATACAAGGGGTTGCAAAGAAAGGAGATGCTGAAGCCAGCTGTATGAGAGACATCTGACTCAGTTATTTCAGCAGACAGAGTCAGAGGAGCGGGACAAGAGGCAGAAAAGAAAGGCGGCTTATGGAAGTAGAGGCTAGTTTGGGAAAATTACATTTTAGGCTGTGAGGTCTTTCACCTCGCTCTCCATGTCTGCCAAGTGTTCAAACCCATGGCAGCCATATGGAGACCTCATTTGGATCCTGGGTGGCCATTCCTGTTCTTGAAAGGCAGCTCCCATCTCCTTAAGCTCTGTGACACACTTTATAAGTCAGGAGGTACATATAGTTCTGGTGTGAGAAGTACCAAACACCAGCTTCCCTCACCCCAACAGAAATGAGAGAAGTTAGCTTTTCTGTTTCTCTGAGAGGAGAGGTTTGATGACCCCTCACCCAAGCATGTACCCCTCCACATGCTTCAGAGAATTCCAGATGTGCGCAGCTTTAGATTTCTCTTTTACCTGTCTGATAGCAACAGCTTTGTATCTCCTGATCTCACAGCAGGTGACATAAATATTTTGGGCCAATTGCCTGATCAGAGCTACATGTTAAACAGATGTGAAAGCCACCTGGACGAGAACAAGAGTGTGAGGGCGGGAACATGTGGGAAGACAATCCCTACACTACTGAGAAACTCTGATCTTGGCGTGGCAGGTTGGTTAACACTCAAATTTTCCCTGCTCTTATGGGTTAAAGCTGGATCTTTAACAATGCTTAGACGAACATTCACGGCACAATACAAAAAGTATTTCAGCCTGTTTTTAATAAACACGGGAAGCCTGCGGTTGGAACAGCGGGTAGCAAGCCACTGCTAGATGACAGAGAGGCTGATCAAACACCCAGGGATAAAAAATAAACAAATGTATAAGCTCCCCATCAAATCTTAGGCGTCGTGTGTCCCCCTCAGCGCCCAGATCAGGCCGGCAGCCCCCGGCACCCCCCGGCTGCCACCTCCATGGCGGAGCCACCTTCCCGCCCCACCGCAGCCCCGCGGCGGCCAGAGGGGGGCGATTCCTGCCCGGCCACGGCCATGGTGGGGCGGGACCGGCCCGGCAGGGAGCGGGGAGGCCGGGCCGGCCCTGCCCGGCTCGTCCCGTCCCATCCCGGTGCCCGGCACAGCCTCAGCCGCCGCTGCTGCTGCCCGCTTTGCCCGCGGCGCCATGGAGCGGTGCGTGGCGGCGGCGGGCGGCGATGTCGGCATGTGCCAGGCCATCTTCCCGGCTCACGCCAACCACCGCGGGGAGCTGAGCGCCGGGCAGCTCCTCAAGTGGATGGACGCCACCGCCTGCCTGGCAGGTAGAGGGGCGGCGGCGCCCCGGGGGATGGCGACCACCACGACACCGCCTCAGGGAGCCGGGGGTTGAGGCACCCCCGCCGCCATTTGCTGCCCCGGAGCCCCTCGGGCTGCCCCTGTAGGCGCTGCCTCGCCCCGAAAGCGGCGGCTCCTTCCTGGCTTTTGCCGGTGGCAGGAGGGGAAAAGGGTGGTTTTGTGCCCCCGGGGGGCGTGAGGGGGGATTGGGATGAGGAGCAGGGTGCAGAGGGGGTGTGGGGTGAGAGGGAGCAGCCAGAGCTAGCAGGGAGATGGATGGACCGGGGATGGAGCAATGAGAGGTGCTCGATGAAAGCAAAAAAAAAAAAGCCCTAATTTAAACATACTCGGAGAAAAACAACACAAGAAACACCGGCTTAAAAAAAAAAAATCAAACACAACTTTTAACACCCCTCAGCTAACTTCTAGACGCCAGGCAAATGCGCTGCCGCCAGCCGGTGAGCCCCGGTGCATGGCGTGGGCTTGCGGGGCGCAGGAAGGCTGGTAGGGGATAGCGGCTGTTTTTGGGGGAGCTGCTGCCCAGCTGGGTGGTTTTAGGCACGCAGTGTGGTGTGCTGGCTGTCTAGGTGTGTGTCATGCTTGGTGGCTTGCGGCTGTACATAACCCACAAATTGTGGGATGCTGGAGGACCTGTCCCATGCAGCAACCACCTGGCAGGGTGCAGCTTCCCAGGGTGACTGCGTGTTTGTTAGAGGTTTATGGTGGCACTAGGGACCGGCTTGGCTCCAGCCCTTTGGTGACTCCTCTCTTAAAAGCACTCTTCATGGAGAGGCTGCTCACTGGTGGTATAAAGCCTGTAACTCGAGTCCCTGCCCTGATGCAGCAGAGCCCCAGCTGCTGCGATGGTTGGCGCCTGCTCCCTGGACTTCAGTGAATCTGTGATCCCCATCAGCTGCAAACCTGACAGGGGAGCTTGCTTTCAGTCCACCTTTAGTGATTGCTTTTGCTTGATTTGACTTGTGCCACACAGCTATTCCCATTGCACACACACGTTTTTTAATGCTTTCCCTAGCTTGGGACTTGTGTCACAGCAAATGCAGCATGCCAGGCAGGGATTTGTTTGGCTTTTGCACCTTTCCCCTGTGGTAGTGCCAGCTGCTGCAGTTGCAGATGCCTGGATTTTGTACCTCCTTTGTTCCATGACCTGCAGCTTCAGGCTTGATCTACCTGTCTCTGCTCCACTTTGAGGCTGTTTATGATCTATCACAGCCTTACTCATGATCTTGCATTAGGCTGTGGCAACTCTAGCCTCTTAGTCTTTAGTGACCTCTTCCCTTCAGCACAGTTTGTTGTGTTTCTGATAAGTGCCTTAACGTGTTTTACCCTCATATTTTAAAAAGGAATTCCTCAGGTAATTATACAATTTATGCACCACCCTCTCTCCATTTTCTCCAAGCCTTTTCCACCAATGGTCACAAAAATATTGTTGGGCTCCATGGGAGTGAGAACTTCTCTCTGTTGGGCAGACTACTGTTGTCCACGTTTCCTAGGACTCTTTTTTTTTTTGTCTGCATCACCCAGAAAACTTTCTGGAGCTGGGGTTCCCTGTGTTTACATGGACTCATAGAATCACAGAATCA